ATGTTTATTACCAGTGCTATGAGAAAGAGAGAGACATGTGGGGTTCAGAAGGCAACTTGGTGGAGTCTGTTTTCTCCTTCCATCTCGGAATTGAACTCAGGTCACCAGACTTGCATGGCAGGCGCCTTTACCTGTGACGCCATCTTACTGGCCAGGGTTTGGTTTTGTTTTGAGACAGAGTAAAGCTGCATAGCCCTGGCTGTCCTGGACATCACTGTGTAGACCAAGCTGGCCTTGAACTTACAGATATCCTCCTGCCTCTGCCTCTCCAGTTCTGGGAGTAAAGGTGTGCACCGAATCTCCTGCTTCTACCTGCCAGTTTTAATTATTCTCATCTCTGAAATGAACTGAAATTATAAGGTTTAGGAGGGAAATAAGTACATAATTATGTACATAATTATGCGCATGGATTACTATGTATAGGCACTAATGCTAGGCACCCAAAGAGAGGCAAGGGAGCTGTTGGAGGTGCACGCGGGAGGCCGAGGGAGAAGGGTCCCTGTCTCAGACCAGCCTGGATACATAATAAGGTTCCGTCTCAAAACCACAAAAATGATAAAGTGGGGCAGGCTGGTGGAGCCCTTCAGTGAGGTAAACAAAGGGACAGGGTCAGGCTTCTAGGGGAAAACAAGTGGCCCAGGCTTGGTCAGGGTAACCTGCGGTTATTTCCAGCTGGGCCAGTCAGACCTCCACTGTCTTCCTGTAGACAGTGTTGGGGGAGGGGGGTTATGAGAAATGCCTCTGCCTGAACCTACTGGCTACTGATGTGAGCAGAAATGAATAGCTTCCTGCAAAAAAGCAGCCCGGGGAGCCTGCGTCCTAGCTGCAGAGGTCTGCAGTTCCTCCGAATGGCCAGCTTCACGTATGCCACAGAACTATATTTGGTTGGCTGTGGGTGTGGCTCCGTTGATAGGCTGCTTGCTAGCGCCCTGGAGGCCAGCCCCAGCTTCAGTCCCCAGCACTGTATAAACTGGGTGCAGATATCCAGCACTTGGCACGTGGAATCTTGAGGGTCAGATCGTCTGAAGGCCTGGCAGACAAGACACCCTGTCTCGATAAAAATAAAACCAAACTGACCCGAAAGCAAGCAATCTGAGGACAGAGCGATGGCTCCGTGGTGAAGAGCACTTGCAACTCTTCCAGAGGTTCCTCCCAAGTTTAGTTCCTAGCACCCAGGCTGTTTGGCTCACAACTTCGATAATTCCAGCCCTTAGGACAGGGGTTCTCAACCTGTGGGTTGTGACCCCTTGGGGATCAACCAATTCTTTTACAGGGTAGCCTAAGACTGTCAGAAAGCACAGATATTTACATGACAATTCCTAACAGTAGCAAAATTATCACCATGAAACAGCAGCGAAAATAACTTTATGGTTGGAAGTCACCACAACATGAAGAATAACTGTATTAAAAGGTTCACAGCATTAGGAAGGTTGAGATCCACTGTGCTAGAAAACCCAACTCCCTCTTCTAATCTCCATACACACTTGCTGATGGGTGGCATACACGCAACTGGATGGACATAAACATATAACCATAAGTAAAAAGCCAGGCATGGCGGTGCACGCCTTTAATCCCAGCACTCAGGAGGCAGAGCCAGGTAGATCTCTGAGTTCAAGGACAGCCTCGTCTACAGAGTGACTCCAGGACAGCCAGGGCTTGTTACCCAGAGAAACCTTGTCTCAAAAATTAAAAAAAAAAAGCATAAATAAAAAGAAATATTTTAAAAGATACCTTTTCCTGGAGAGGCTCAGTGGTTAAGAGCACTTAATACACTTGCAGAGGAAACAGTATCTGCAAGGCTGCATGACTCCCAGCTATCTGTAACTCCAGTTCCAGGGATCTGATGCCCTCTTCTGACCTCTGTAAACACAGACACACACGATGCACATACCTACTACAGGCAAAACGTTCATACATATAAAATAAAGAAACCTAAAAAAAAATTTTTTTTAATTACTTTCATGTGGGCTGTTTTAGAGGTCCATAAGAAGGTGTGGTCTCTGCACACTATATTGCAATATCCTAAGAAAACTTCAGTTTTCCCATTTCTGATATAAACTGAGGCGGAGAGAAATGATATGACCGTCTCAACGTCCTGAAGTGGCATTTTCAGTGTCAGGATTTGAACTTGGGGATCTTGACTTCAAAGCCTTTGTTTATTGCCACGTTAAATTCATCCCAATAAAAACAACCAAGTGTTTGTTTGGGTTTTTTCCATTGTGCCGGACAGTCTTACCAAGCCTTTTTCATATGCTGTTTCGTAGTTGACATTGGAATTCCAACATGTCTTTGCAGAAACAGAGATTCAGTTTAAACATCTTGCGTAAGTCAGAGCTCAGGGGACACAGTGGCCCTGGACACTCACTAGGTTGGGCAGTAGGAATCTGCCCTCAACAAAAGACCACAATAGTCACAAGCCTACCAAGCAAGTCAGTAGTGATGCTGGCCACCCAGAAAACAAAAAAATGCAGGTCATTACCCACGGGTGGTGGTGGGGGTGCTCTTCTGGAATGAACCAATTACTTGGGTGCTCAGATCAAAAGAGACTTAGGGCTCTGAGGAGGGAGAAGCCATTTTTATCAGTCTCAAGTACATGTTTTAGGTAAGTTGGTAAAAGTTAGAAATTGAAGGAGGGCTGAGTAGTCCTGAAATCTGGGGAGAGCCTTCCCAGCATTCTGTTGTGAAAACTGTTCACTGAAATATAGAAAAGTTTTTTCATATTGATTATGGATCTTCCCAAAGATGGCAGCTGTGTATTGAGTTTATTTCATTAAGGCCCAGAGAGGGAACCCAGCTGGAATCACATACCCTGGTCTTTCCCCAGCTGTGTAGAAGCCTGCTGTGACCTAGGACTTTGAGGCAGAACTGCTGGCTAAGTCCTGGCCATCTGGAGAGGGGCTTGGAGGACAGCTGGTCCAGGCCTCAGCTGGGATGGTAGGCCAGTGGCTGCATAGCCAACCTGAGGCTGTGGAATGTAGGTTGCTGCGGGAGGGCCCCAGTGCTCAGACAGCCTCAGTGCTTCAGCCTTCAGGTTTCCTGTTGGAATGGACCAGACTGACCCTCTGAACTGCAATCTGAATGTTAAATTACCAAAGAGGCTCTCTTTCTGCATACCCAGGAGGCAGGCCCACAACAGGCACACAGAAACTGCCCTTGGAGTTTTCCCCAAAGGCATGGCAGGGCCCCTCCTTAGAGCGAGCACTCTGTGGAAAGGGGCTCTTGTCCAGATGGGCCTGGGCGCCAGCCAGCTGCTGAAGTTTCCAGCAACTGGGCCAAAGGAAAGTGCCTAAGCCTTCAAGTGACAAGGCCCAGCCCTCAGTCCCGGTTCAGCTCACTTCCTGGGCCTCATTCATCCCCTGGGTCTCTGACGGTTTGGGGTTCTTTTACCCACTGGCCCTTGAGCCTCCAGGCTTGGGGAAACCCCAGAGATGGTTCTGAACCCAATTCTAGATGTCACCCCTTCCCTGTGAGGTTTCCATTTCCTGGTGAGAGCTGTGCTTTTATACCAAGGGGCCTCTGGTTGCCAGGACAACAGCAGGGTTTCCTGCAGCCAAGCTGCGATTGCTGGCCCATCTCTGTCTCGTGTCCTCCACCCCACCCCACCCCACCCCACCCCGTACTGACTGCGGTTTAGGGAGACAGTACTCCAACAGTGGTGACATGGAGGCAAACTGATAACATCCCTCCCCTGCAATGGATACCACCACCACTGATTTGTCTGCTCTGTGCTAGAAGTAATCCAGGTCCCACCCCCCAGCAGAGGGATTGCCTAAGTTGGGGGATGTGTAAGGCTGGAGAGCGCTGAGTTGCAGGTCTCTGTAGTTCCCTGTTCCTTTCTAGTTCATTCCTTGCAAGTAAGTTATTTTTACTCTTACAAAGCAGTATGGAGCTGTTTTAAGCTTACACCAGCTGCTTCTGGCCGAGTGCAGTGGTCCTGATTGCTTAACTCGCATCTCCTGCCTTTCTGCTGAGTGTTTGTGAGCTCAGCTCAGCTCTTCCCCATGGCCTGGATTCCCCATTTCATTTATTTATAGGTAATACACCTGTGTCCCTGTTTCCTTCCTTGTAGCTCTTGTCCCTGACACCTCCAGCCCATAGTCCTTACCCAGTTTCAATGAGATAGTTCATCCCTTTTGTTTAAATCCCCCATGATGATGACGGCCTTGTTCCATCAGAGTAAGGTCTTCACAGCGGCCTCAGGCACTGGCTCGGCCATCATGTCAGTCACCATCCTTCTGCCTGCTGCCACCTCAGTCACAGGGAGCTCTCTGTTGCCTCTTACCTGGACATCTGCATGAGATCTCTGACTGGCCACCCAGTGTTACATCCTGATACCTCTTGTCCTGCATATTGCCTTTCCTCCAGATGCTTATTGTGATCCTCAGGGGGTGCGTTTATCACCAGGACCCATGAAAACTGGACTGTCCAGTCTTGAATGTGTCCTGTTGTGGTCTCAGGGTGCAGAGCATTGCTGGCTGGAGTAGATGGGTGAATACAACAGACCCAAGCTGAGATGATGTCTCAGGGAGACACCTGGGAATTCCTGCTTCTTCGAATTTGCATGCCAAAGAAGGCCTGGCTGGGAAGCCATTTTCAGTGGCTTGGGAAGAGGGCACACAGACGCCAGGCAGCACTCTGGATTCTGGGGTTCTAAGTGGTTTGCCATAGGGTCAAATGTGGTACCCAGCCTTGGTTTCCCTTCTCTTACAAAGGGCATCTGCTGCCTGTAAGGACTGTTGAAAGGATTAGGGGAGAACAGGCGCACTGCACAGCCTGGCTCAGCGCTAGGTCAGTGGTCATGTCCAGCCTTCCTTCTCCCGGTCCCTTTCCCCACCCTGCTGTGACTGACTGTGCACTATCTAATCCAGCCACTGTCAACTGAAAAACAAAGTTCCTGCCTCTACCAGGTCTCTAGATACGAGAGCCGCAGGAGGGAAAATAAGAGGCAAAGAAGGGAGAGTCCTGAGAGCATCTTTCAAATTCTCTTTCTCTTTCCACAGTGGTTTCTGCTGCAGAACCTGAGACCATGGCCAAAACAGCACAGGTAAGGGTCTTTTTCTCTTCCTCCTTCTCCCCCTCTTCCTCCTCTTTCTCCTCAAGGTCCTGCCCTTGGGTCTGGGAACCCTAGCATCAGTAGGCCAGAGTAACCCCAGCTACTCCCAGCTAAGCCATGTGTCGTCAGATAACCCTTGGTACCCTCAGATAACCCCCAGTAGCTTCAGATTGTTCTGGGTACCTTCTGGTAACTCCTCGCCTTCAGCCTAAAGGGAGCAGAGGCAGCTCTAAATTCATAGCTCTTTATGAGCAAGACACCAATAATGACACACAGTATCTGAAGTACAAAAGGATGTAAGTGATTTGGCTCAAGGACTGGAGAGTGCAGGGCTCCAGGACTGACTAGATGGGAGAGCTTGAGTGATAGAGTGAGGAGGACTCTGTTTCTATTAGCACCGTTTTCTAGATTGCTTCTTTCCTGAGAGGCCCCTCGTTGCCTGGCATGGGCATCAAGCACCTCCAGGCTTCCATTCTCCTGTCTTTACAGACCAGGATAAAAATAGTGTAGCTTATTTCCAGTGGTTCCAGGTTTTTCATTGGCTGGGCCTGGGTGGCATGCCATTTGGAGTGGGAAGTTGAGTTGATCCCACCAGAACTTTGTGGCCCCAGGAAGGGAAATGGGCAACTAGACAGGCACTAAATCACAATGAGGGTCGCTTATGCCCAGGAGAGGTGTGGTCCATGCCATACCCATTGCAGTTGAGTTTTCCTGGCCAAATAGAGTGTTATCTCCTCTGTGGCTAAGGTTGGTATGAGGGGTCCCTCTGTGTCAGGGTTTGTCTGAAAAAAGTTCCAGTTGGATACCCTTCTCCTGCAAACCTAGCATGGGAAGGGGAGTATAAACTGAGGGTTTGTACTCAGCTGACCCCCTTTGGTTGCTTACTCCATCTCTAGAACATCTCCATCTAGTCACAGAGCAGAACTCTTAACCAATGGCTGAACCAAGAGCCAGTTTCCCTTCATCCATCCTTGTGACATGACACCCAATGAACCAGGGACAGTCGCAGTTGGCAGAGAGTAGCATTTATATGATGCAAGACAGATCCTCAAAATAGCTCTCGCTCAGCTTCCCTCCCTGCCCTTAAGGAGCATGCCCGGTCCCACAGCCTCTCTGATCAGGTTCATCAGGAAGAGTAGTCGTAATTGTGGGCAAAGCTCCAGGATGAGAGCTGTTGCTGCTTCCCGCCTTCCTATGTGTGCACAGGCAGGAACTGAGAGGCATTTCTGAATGACTCAAGCAAACAGGTCAGGCCGAGCTTCTGCAAGCAAGTTTCAAGGTGGCTGAGCCTGAGGGGGTCTCTCTTGCCCTGGTGTACTGTGCTTTAGTAGGACGTGAAAGAGGTCTGGGCTGACAGGAGGACACTCTTTGGGTTACAGGAAGGGTCTTCGGCAGACTGGCCAGATCAGAGGGCCAGAATTGAGAAAGAACACAGTGCAGTTGGAACAAGGAATGCAGCGGAGTTGGGACAAAGGGTAGTTCGGGTGCTTGGTTGGCAGCAGCCTCAGTAGGGAGAAGGTTGCAGAAGATAGTGATGTGAAGAAAGAAGTTTGCTGTTGCCGTGGTTCTCAGCCTTCCTAAAGCTGTGGCCAACACAGGTCATCATGTTCCTGCCCCGTAACTGTAATTGTGCTACTGTTATGAATTGTAATGTGAATATCTGTGTTTTCCAGGGGTCTTAGGCGACCTCTGTGAAAGGGTTGTTCATCCACCCTAAAGGGTCACGCCCCACAGGTGAAGAGCCACCAGTCCATTGCCTGCCTTTAGCACTCTGCAGTGAACCCCACACACGTGCACACCCACACACCCTTGCAGACACACAGCACACTGCTCACACTCCTCAGGTTTAGTCACCCCAGTTCCTTCCATCGTGATGACTGGTCCTTCCTGTCACCTTCCAAAGAGATGAACTCGGGACCCAAAGGCAGGAAGGAAGAATAGGATTCCATGGAATGCCCCAGGAGATACGGCTCTGTGGGCTGTTCAGTAGTGAGGCTTGGGGTTGGAATGCAATAATGAATATAAAAGGGCTTTGCAGGCTGGGCGTGGCAATACACGCCTTTAATCTCGGGACTCAGGGAGGCAGAGGCAGGCTGATCTGTGTGAGTTCGAGGCCAGCCTGGACTACAAAGTGAGTTCCAGGACAGAGACACCTTGGGGGGGGGGAACAAATAATAATAATAATAACAATAATAAAACACTTTGTAGACAGAGAGAGAGTGTGTGCATGTCCTGGGACCCTAGCAGCTGCAGGATGAAGTGGGCTTCAGAGATGGTTATGGTTACTCTCTGCGCCAATCGTCTGTCTAGGGGATGTTTATCTTTGCTCTAAGAAGGCCCAGGACACCTGCAGCAGCTGGGGTGGGGCCTCACAGGTGGAAGCCCCCAGGGCCCAGGCTGCTCACCACCTGACAACAGGGCCTGTTAAATATTTCAGGGTGGAAAGCTCTTTTCTCTCCACTCCCTCCATCTTGGTTATCTGCATCCAGGATCCTGCCCGAATGGGGTGTGACAGTCTGATTACAGGTGGCTTGGGCGGCTGCACAGGTGGCGTTTAGGCGCGTAAACTTCCCACAATGGGGCGAGTCATGACCTGTGGGAGCTCAGCCCAGATGTTCTGGGGGAACTGTTTCTTTATCTTTATGTTAACGGCTAAGGCTAAGTGCCACTTTGCTTACAGTGCCCGTGATGGGAGCACAGGGCTGGCAGGCCAGCACTGAAAAGATAGGGTCCTTGAGCAGAGCGCTACATGGGACACTGGACTAGATGCTCTCTTAGCTTGCTTCTCCATGAATACTTTAGCCTGTGTAGGCCATTAGCCATCTTTCCCCAGTGTCACACTGACTGTTTCATCTTCAGCCCAAACAGCACCAGAGCCCACCCTCACCATCCATGGAGGAAGAAGGGCAGAGACGAAATATCCACAGTAGGCAGGAACGCATACCTGGTGCTCTGTCTTCTGCCTCAGATGCCCAAGCTCTCTAAGGTCATAGGATTGAAAACTGCCTCCTACAGGGGCTGGGGAAACACGAGAGGCACCTGCCCAGGCTGCAGAAGAGCTGACTGTGAGCTTTCAGGAACCTTCTCAGAATCTGTCTTGGCACTTGTTACCTCTGACACATCTCCAGTAATGAGTAATCTCAGTTGTCAGCTTGATGAGATCTAGAGCCACCTAGGAAATGGTCCTCTTGTTATGCCTAGGGGAGGATTCTTCCTCCCCCTCCCCACCAGCATCTTAAAAATGAGACAAGGTTTTGTCTTGCTATGTGGCTTTGACTGGCCTGGAACTCACTGTTTGGACCAGGCTGTCCTCCCAAGTTCTGGGATTAAAGGAGTGTGCCACCATGCCCTGTTTGGGAGGATTATCATAATTAGGTTAATTGACAGTAGGAAGGCCTACCCATTATGGGTAGTGCCATTCCCTAGGCTGAGTTTCTAGGCTGTATAAAAAGGAGAAAGTGAGCTAAGCACAAGCTCTCATTGTTCTCTACTTTTTTTTTTTTTTTTTTTTTGAGACAGGGTTTCTCTGTGTAGCCTTGGCTATCCTGGACTCACTTTGTAGCGCATGCTGGCCTCAAACTCACAGAGATATGCCTACCTCTGCCTCCCTGGGTGCTGGGTTTACAGGCATGTGCCACCACCATTTTGCTCTCTGCTTCGTAACAGTGGAAGCAGTATGACCAGCTGCCGCCCTAACTTCTCCATCATGATGGACTGCACTCTTGAACCATGAGTCAGAATAAGCCCCCTCTCCCTTAAATTGCTTTTGTTCAAAGTATTTTATCACAGCAACAGAAAAGTAACTAAGGCATCCTTACTACTGACCTTGAGAAAGGTATCAGTTCAAAACTGCTGCAGCTTGAATGCTTCTAACCTACACAGAAGATGGGTTGCATAGTTAAACTTCCTAAATAAAAAAATGAAATAAACAAAATAAGAGCCAAACCCTGGAGACAGGACCCTGAGGAGAATCTCTGTTCAATGGAAAGGGACAACAATGCCAGGCGCGAGAGCCTTGCTCTGCCCGTGCCCTGACGTAGGAGGTATGCCCAGAGCGGCCTCTCGATATCATTGCCACTCTATCTTCCGCTTCATGATCATTGCACCCCACATGAGTTTTCAGACTCTGGGCATCAGCTTCTAAGCACTGTAACCTGGGCTTCCCCTCCCCAATGTCCTCACTGTACGGCAGGCCTCTCTCCCCGGCACAGAGGGCAGCAGTTACTCATCCTGTAGAACTTACAGGAACTCAGACGTCATCTCCAGGAAGTCAGCTCCTATCTGCTCAGCATGTACTCTCAGTAATCCACTCCTCTCTTTCTGAAGCAAATACCCAGATGTCCTAGGTCAGTGGTTCTCAACCTGCCTAATGCGGTGTGTGACCCTTTAATATAATTCCTTGTGTTGTGGTGACCCCCAACCATAAAATTGTTTCCACTGCTACTTCATAACTGTAATTTTGCTACTGTTGGGAATAGTAATATAAAATATGATATGCAGGATATCTGATATTCGATCTCTATGATCGTTCAACCCCCCCCAAAGGGGTCGTGACCACAACTGAGAACCACTTTGCTAGGTCCAGTGCTAGGGGCTGGAAATACATCAGTGAGTAAGACAAGTGCAGTCCCAGCCTCCACAGGGCTTCTTCTCCAGCCCCTGGACTGGACTTAACTGACTGGATCGTGGTTGCATGTGCTACTGTACAGCTCCCACAGGACTGCGAGCTCTTTCAGGTCCCTGGGCTCAGCACTTAGTAGGTTCTCAGTGAGAAATGGATGGATGCATGTGAGTGCTGGTAGATGGGTGGATGGTGGATAGTTGGGTGGATGGATAGGCATGTGGATAGGTCAATGGGTAGCTTGGTAAATGGGTCGATGGAATGGCAGATAGGCAGACCGACAGATTCATGGACAGAAGAACAGACAGATAAGTGGATGGAAGGATAGATTGCAGCATAAATGGACAGATGGGTAGATAGGTGGTGGATAAGCTAATGGATGACTGGTGGATAAGTGGGTGGCTCTAGTTTCCCTGGAAACGAGAGTCTGTGTTGGAGAAGCCTTTGGGGTCTAGGCATGGTGGGGTGCTGGTGGCGCCTGTGTATAGCTTGAAAGTGAGTCAGCATGGCACAAAGAGAAACAGGTCTCTGAAAGCTGCCATCCCAGCAGGGGAAGCAGATAATAATATAATATTATATAACAGTATATTATATAATAACCCATGTTTAGTCTTCAAGGAGAGGCAGGCGGGCATCACTAGCTGAGGAAGAAGCTCTAGGCTATTTGATGATCCATGCTAAGGAGTCAGGCTGCGCCCTCCCCTGCCTGCATCCCTCTTTAGCATTCTCTACCTCAAAGGAGAATATCTTCATTTCTTCATTCAACTCAGTTACCGCTAGCAAGCCCTTTCTGGTCTCCACTGCTAAGCCTGTGCTGGGTGTGGGGATCCACTTTCTCCTTTGCAGCCATAGCTCTTTACAGCGCCTGTACTGTAGAGTCAAGAATCAAAGAGCCAGATGTGATGTCACATGCCTGTAATCCCAGCACTCATGTGGCACTGACAGGTCCATCAGGAGTTCAAGGTTAGCCTTGGTTACATAGTGAGTTCAAGACTAGCCTTGGCTATGTGACACCTTATATTAAAAAAAAAAAAATCAAGAGGAAGGTTAGACTAAAATTCTTTAAGACTCTTTGCAAAGCAGGCATTCTTTTCTGATACTGCTAGACCAGGATATAGAGAGAAACACCAAATGGTTAGGCTGTAAAATTCTAGAAGGTACTGCCTTTTTTCTGATAACAGGGACTTGAGGGCCTCCTCTCATCAGTCTCTGAACCATGTACAGACCAGGCCTGACACTGGACCTCAGGTCCCTGGGTCAGACTATCCAGGGTGGCACCATGCCAATGCAAATGTAGCAGGCCTCAGAAGGACTGAAGAGGGCAGAGCGAGCAAAGGCAGGAGGTAGGGCCAGCATACACCATCCCTTGCCTGGTCTTCTGTCTGGCCTGTTGCTCTTTCCTTGCCCAGGATTGAGATCGGGTTGCAGGGGATTCACGAATGGCGGGAAGAAGTCTGTGTCCCTATCTGGTCACTCGCCCTTTGAGAGCTTTAAATAGCAGCCCTGCACCCACGCATGCATACCTCTGAAGAGCCAGCTTCTGTGACCGAAGGCAGAGGACAGACAGATGTCTGGCTGGGCCCTGTGGTAGGAGCCATCAGGAGACACGGACTGTGGGAGGACTCGTGTTTTGCCTGTCCATGTCTTACTCCTTGAAGGCACAATCTGTGGGCTCCTCGGACTCCAGCTGCTCCTCTGCCTCCAGCCGCTCCTCCATCTAAAAAGCCTTTTCTAATCTCTTTTTGGAGCTGGTATTGAGTTTAGCCGTTTTTCTCTGTAACTTGCCTCTCTCTTTAGGTAACTTGTCTCTCTCTAGGTGTTTACTATTTATGGTCCATCTCTGCCACTGGGTGAGGGGCTCAACAAAATTAGCTCTTTGTTCTTCCTGAATCTTCAGTCCTTGGCCTAGGGCCTGGCACAGATTACGTGCCATGCGTCTGCCCAGTAACAGCCCCTTGACTATTGGAATCAACCATGGTTCTCTTAGACCCCGTACTTCTCCATACTGTATGGCTGACCCACATCTGATTCTTCCGTGAAGTAACCCATTGTGCATTCAGCTTAGATCTGATGTCTAAGGTCTCTTGGCTCTCTGCCCTCCTCTCCTGGCCTGCAAGGACCCTGCCAGCTTGTCCTCAGATACCAGTTCACAGCTCAGTTTACCGGGCCCCCAGGACCAGTGCTCCTCTTGGCATTGAACTTGAAAACAGTTCTGGGTCCCCTTGAGTAGCTGGCGGCTATGAAGTTTGTACTGCTGAGGACAGAGGGGAGCAGGGAAAAGGGTTGGGGTCTGTGGGACTCCTTCCCAGGGTTTGGTTAACCTTAAACACTCGCACTAACCTTAAACACTTGCTAATATAATTGTATTAATAGAGATGAAAAGCTTTGTATAGTGTAAAGTACTGCAAAAAAAAAAAGCAAACAAACAAACAAACAAAAAAACCAGGAGTGCTAGGGAGAGATGGCTCAGACAGTAAAGTACCTGCTAGGTAAAACATTAGTTCAAGCTCCAGAATCCGGCTCCCCCACCCACGGGCACCCCAAAAGAGCATGGGAGTACAGTGCTGGACAGGCAGACACAGGCCACCTGTGAGAGATAGGTGAGCCCAGGCCGCCGAGAGACCCTGTCTCAAAAAGTAAGGCGAGCCAGGTGTGGTGGTGTACTCCTTTAATCCCAGCAGAGGCAGGTGGATCTTTGTGACTTCGAGACATGCGTAGGTCTACATGGTGAGTTCCCGGACAGTCGGGGGCTATGTAGAAAGACCCTGTCTCAAAAAACCCAAAACAACAACAAGAGGAATGGTCTGGCAAGATCTCGGAGGGTGAAGATGCTCATAGCACCAGCCTGAGAACCTGAGTTCAAGGCCAGTGTGGTCTACATAGCGGTTCCAGGCCAATCAGGGCCACACAGCCAGACCCCATCTCAAAACAAACATACCAACAAATAATAAAAAAAAAAAAAAAAAAAAAAAAAACAACAACAAGGTAGGGGATGCCTGAGAAACAATACCTATGGCTGACCTTTGACCTCTACCTACCACACATCACCACCACACCACAGGTGGGGAAGGGGAGCTCTTGTCATTCACAGGGATCGCTTCCAGTCTACCACTCAGCCAGACTTTTAACCTCTTCTGGTGGTGCCAGGTAATGAAGGGCTGTGAGCCTTGGCCACAGGAATGGCCCTGTCCTTTGAGCAGGCTGGTAGTCCAGAAGAGTCCGCCACACCCTTTCCAGGTGACCTCAGCACTTGTTTTTCCTCTGGGGAACAGAACCGAGCCAGGGTCTTGGGTCAAAGGTCAAAACTCAGCCTCCGCTTCTCTCTCCACAGGGCGCCATGTACCGAGGTTCCATCCATGACTTCCCAGACTTCGACGCAAACCAGGATGCCGAGGCTCTGTACACAGCCATGAAGGGCTTCGGTGGGTGTGGGCTACCTGGCAGCGGGCCCTGCGGGGAGGGGAGGAGTGCGTGGAAGACTCGGCCTACCCAGCTAGGGCACCAACAACAAACCCAAGAAACCATTCTGCCCATCGAGTTTGATGAGCCAGTGTGTTCACTGGGGTTATTTACAGGAACATAGGTCACCTCAAAACAGTTACAAAACTTAAGAACTAAAAAAAAAAAAAAGGAAAAACCCACTCATGGGTGACAACTCAGGAAAGCTACAACCTTAGCGCCCTCTGCCCAGCTTCCAGACAGCTCCACCAGACAGCCTCACCTCTCCCCAGCCATTGTTCCTACTTTAATAGTCTTGGGGAGGAGCCTTAGGGTCCACGTATCAGCCCCTGAGCGTCCAAGCCTTATAGATTTCATGAGCTTCTAAATCTTGAGGGCCTTCCTCCACCATCCTTGAGAGATTATCTCCTTTCCATGGGAGACTACTCAGCAGCAGTGGGGGAGGGGGGATGCCTGGGATGTTGCAATGTACTTTTGTTTTGTTTTGTTTTGTTTTGTCCTGTTGCTGGGGATTGTGCCTGGGACCTCACCAATGCTAGATAAGTACTTTGCATCTGATCCCTGTGACTAGCTTATTTAATCTAAAAAAAAAAAAAAGCCTCTTTTTATATTTTAATAAATTTACAATAAAATGTCAAACTACTAAAGAGTGATAAAGAATACTGATGCCTCACCCATAGACCTGGGCTTAAGGAATGGGCCTGGTTAGTGTAGCTGGAAACCTTGGCCAGTTGGTGCCCTCCTGGTGAACTCCCCTTTCTTCGGGGTGACCACTGACCTTTGCTACCTTTGTTTGCCTGCAGTTGAAAGAACACTGTGCTGGGCATTAGGGCACCTGGGTTTTTCTAAGTCATGTGTACTGTGAGGCCTTTTGGAAATCCTTACCCATCTCATTTGTCGCTCAGAGAGCTCAATCAGGGACCCTCTGAGCTTAGGTGTTGTGAATGCAATGACTGGCTCTGTGTGGGGACTTAGAAGTTCCTTAAGACCAGTGGTTCTCAACCTTCCTAGTGCTTTGATCCTTCAATACAGTTCCACATGTTGAGGTGATGCTCAACCATAAAGCTATTTCCATTGCTACTTTGTTTTTGTTTGTTTGTTTGTTTTTCCATTGCTACTTTGTAACTGTGATTTTGCTACTGTTAAGAATTGTAATGTAAATAGCTGATATGCCACCCCCCTGCAAGGGTGACGACCCACAGGTTGAGAACCACTACTATCACCTCTTTGTTGAGCTGGGATGGCTTCTGCTGTTTCCTGCTGGAGCTATAAGGAAACAGCTTTGGGGGGATGGGGGTGGGGTGGGAGGCTGGGTTACCCTTGACAGTGTAACCAAATGCAGGAGACTTGTATCTTGTTGAGGGGAAGTTGGAATAAGCATAATAGAGACTAGCGTGGGAGAAGACTCATTACCTACAGCAGTCAAGACAGCCTGGCAGTCATTTCCAAGCCAGAGCTCTCGCTGAACAAACCAAGCACGGGGATTTTAATGTGGGGCTGTACAGATCACAGACCCACAGTCCCATTCCTGAGTGTGCTCATGTTAGGAGTACAGTCTCAAGCATGCTTACCTTTTGTTTTGTTTTGTTTCGTTTTGTTTTGTTTTGTTTTTTGTTGAGGCAGAGTTTTTCTGTGTAGCCCTGGCTGTCCTGGAACTCACTCTGTAGACCATGCCAGGCTGGCCTTAAACTCAGAAATCCACCTTCTTCTGCCTCCCTAGTGCTGGGATTAAGGGCATGCGCCAGCCACCGCCACCTAGCTCACATGCTCACTTTGAAGTGACAGAAGTACCTCTGGGAATGCTCCGCTTGCATCATGAAGCTTTGGTGGAAAACAGAACTACATTTTGAAGGCACGTTAACATGGAACCTGAGGGTACCACCTTGTCTTACTCACTAACAACAAGTGTCCTCAACTCTTCTAGGCAGTGACAAGGAGGCCATCCTGGAGCTGATCACCTCCCGCAGCAACAAGCAGAGGCAGGAGATCTGTCAGAGTTACAAGTCCCTCTATGGCAAGGCAAGTAATGGCAGCCAGAGGGCCAATGTGGAAAGGAAGCTCCCTGTCTTGTTATTCAGGATCCTTCCCCAGCACTCTTCTCCGGCCCTGCCTGCATGCCGGCTCTTCTTCCTCTGTTCCTACTTGTCCCTCACATGTCATCTGAGTACCTTGCCCTTGGCACTCTCCAGGTGTCGGGCCTGCTCTGAGAAAGCAGACCTGTGCCGTGGCCAACTCTCTACACTCCCAGATTCTGGGAGAGACAGAGAGTGGGAACAGACAGCAGTAGGGAAGGGCAGGGTTGGGGGCTTGAACTGGTACTGTCCACTTGCTACCTGCATGACTTGGAGCAGTGGCCTGAGAGAGCAGTGGCTCTCAGTGGTTCTGAGAACCACTTAGCCGGTGGGTCGTGGGTCGTGACCCCCTGGCAAAACCTCTGTCTCCAAAACTATTACAGTTATAAAGTAGCAATGAAAATAATTTTGTGGTTGGAGGTCACCACAACATGAGGAACAGCGTTAAAGGGGGGCAGCATTAGGAAGGCTGAGAGTCTAGAGTCTTCGCTAAGGGACAATGGCAGCATTTCCTCCCGAGAGCAGGATTCAGCAAGGTGACTAAGCCTTGGACTGGGCAGAGAAAGGACTCACTTATCCCTTGTTCCAACCATGGTCCTCCCCCACCTTCAGGACCTCATCGCAGACCTGAAGTACGAGTTGACAGGGAAGTTTGAGCGCCTGATAGTAAACCTGATGAGGCCGCTTGCCTATTGCGATGCCAAAGAGATTAAAGACGCCATCTCGGTAAGACGCCTGGGCTTAGGCGTGCAACAGGGGTGCAGATGTGGGCGGTGGGGAAGTTCTGGGCTTTACCACTTGCTTCCGATCAGCCCCTGCTCGCCCAGCAGACGTGTCCTGCTTCAAGAGGCAGCCTGTCCCAGAAGGGCTCCCTAGCCTTCTCCAGCCTGGCAGATGTGGACAGACGCTAGGGGAAAGTAGGCCTTATAAAATGGGGCCTTGGTCTCAATCCCCCCTGCCAGGATTTATAGTCCTGGGAAAGTGGAGACGTGGAGACAAATGCTATACAGCACAGCATAAGCTGACAGCAAATGAAAATTTGTCATTGCAAGACGCTGGGTGTTAGACTCTGAGTCTGATGAGAACAGCAAGCTCCAGGTTTAGTAACAGGCCCTGGTTGAAAAACTAAGATGGAGAGTGATAAAGGAAGACCCCTGAAGTTGACCTCTTAACTTCTGCGCGCGCAAAGCCCCCGATTTAGGGTGTGTGACTTCAGTGATAGAATGCCTGCTTGCATGGGTAAAGCTCTGGGCTTCATCCCTAGCACCCTAAAAAAAAAAATGTACACAAAAGCCTTTGATTATATCAGGCACTTTACGGTTTATGAAGCCTATGGCCTCTGCCACCATTGAGTTCCCACACATGAACTCGTTCTCGTGTGGATACGCATGGGGCCACGTGAGAAGTTGCCGCCTTCTCAGTGTGCCTCAGAACTCGGCAGAGCAACAAAGAGCTTCCCCACCTTACAGATGAGAAAACTGTGGCCAGAAAGATAAGGTCATCATCGCTGCTGTTGTTGCTGAAGGTTTTATAAATGTTTGTTTTACGTACAAGGTGCTGGCATGTTTCCTTCGCTGGATGGGTAACTGGAAAAATGCATTCAAAGATCACCCAGTTAGACTTAATAAACACCGTGTCCTCCTGGGACTGAACTGTGTCAATGCACATTGAGGCTCTATTTTCCCATCAGGCTTCGTGGACTTGTGCTAAGACGGCAGGAATGTCCAACCCTGTCATAGTCTCCGCAGATGGTTCCACGGAATGCACTGATGGCCCACTTTGCTTTCTGTTGTGATTTTCTAGGAGGGTGTAAAGAAATACAGGATTGTACTGATTTTTTTTTTTTTTTTTTTTTTTTTTTGTTATTTATTGAGTCAGGGTATCATGTAGCCCAGGCTGGCTTTGAACTCGTAAGCCTTCCACCCCTATCTCCCAAGTGCTGGGACTAGAGCTGTGTGCCTCCCATGCCTGTTTTTGTGCAGTGCTGGGTCAAACTTGGGGCCTTATTGCACGTCAGACAAGCACTGTACCAACTGAGCCACATCCTTAGCCCCAAGATCTCTTAGTGAGAAGTCGTGATAGTACTGTACAGGTGGAGCTGTACAGGTGGAGCCAGAACCCATGCCTTGAGTCTCAGTGTGGTATCTCCCAAATGTTGCTGAAGAGCTGAGCGGAAGACACCCTGGGTGCAGGCGGTGTCACTATCCAGGCTGCTCTGAGCTCCCCTGTGGTTAAGGACTTCCCATCCTGCTCTGTCCCACATGTTCCTTCTCTCCTGCAGGGCATCGGCACAGATGAGAAGTGCCTCATTGAGATTTTGGCTTCCCGGACCAATGAGCAGATCCACCAGCTGGTGGCCGCATACAAAGACGGTGAGATGGACAGGAAGGACACTCAGCCTGCAAGGGTGGAGAGACAGCAAGACTACCATCCGCCTTCCTTCTGACCTATCCATCCCACTAACCATCTGGAATCCATCCACTCTTCCATCCACCCACCCCTCTGTATCCATCATCACACTACCCCACCCATCTATCCAACATCCATTATCTCCTCTCACATCCATCCATCACCAATCCACTCACTCATCCATCCATTCACCATCTACCCACCCACGCATCATCCATCAACTCATCCATCTGATATCTGCCCATCGTTCACCACCTACCCATCTACCTATTCTTCCATCTACCATCTACCTACTGTTCATCCATCCATCTAACACCCATCTATCTTCCAGTTCACATACCCACCTATCCATCTACTCACCCACTCATCTATCCATCTGCTTGGCCATTTCCATTTACCCATACAATAAGTACCTGTTCTGTGCTGGACAGTATGCAGGTTCTCAGGAAATGGTGTTAGATAAAAACAGTGTAGTCTCTGCCAGCTGGAACTTGCAGACTCATAAGATAATGATGAGTCTCAGAGAAAAAATAATGATGACACACAGCGGTCAGATTTTACAAAGGAAATGAACAAGAGCCAGACTTTCCCAAGAGAGGGCCTATGTCAGAGAAAGCCTGTCTTAAGAAGAAGTGAGGAGCTTGTTGTATAGAGAAGGGGGAGGCAAATGGTCCTTCTGGCAGAGGGAACAACAGCATAAAAACTCCTCTGCAGAAATGAGTTAGGTGGCCCAAATGAGGCTGGGGAGGTAGAGGGCAGGCTAGCACTATGGAGGGCTTTGTAGCCAAAAGAGAGGTGATCTTTTCCTCGGAGTCCAGCGACAAACTGGTCTTACAATCAGATAGGGGCTTTATGACAGATCCCTTGTCACTGTGGGAGGAACCCTTTGTCGTGGTGGGGTCAATGACACAGAGGGGCGGCACAAGGGGACAGAAGTAGGAAGACTCCATTTCATCATGTCCCAGTGCCAGCCACCATGAGGAGACACGTGTGTCTTTTCATGGCAGCCATACAGATTGGATTGGGGTTCATAACAATAGCTAATCTTATGGGGCGGGTGGGGATGCAGAACAAAGGGCCTCTGTTCTGGATCCCGGAGGCTTTGGGGGATGAGATTAGATCCCCTGTGTTACTTCCACAGCCTATGAACGCGACCTGGAGTCTGACATCATTGGAGACACCTCTGGCCATTTCCAGAAGATGCTGGTGGTACTGCTCCAGGTAGGTCTGTGTGCAGTACAAGGCCCATTTCTGCAGCTCTCCCCATGTGCACCATGGGCACCTTTAACTGCTTCTTAAACAAGTGGCCCAGGAGGGCTGTAGAGTATATAGACCACCTCTACGCCATGGCCCTCTTCACTGCCCGTCACATTTGTCTCATCCTCTAGAGCCTGAGAGATGGCTCTGAAGCCTGGGCTCTATACATTGGTCTGTCTTTATCCCAACATCCTACTTTATACAGGCTTGTGGCCTGCAGAGACCTGGATGCCTCACTCACAGCCTTCTTCCCCCTCCTCATGCACCCTTCTTCCCTTCTGTGGCTGCTGCTTCAGCCGTGCACAGGGACCTGCCTGTACTGCCTACAGCAGCCAAAATCTGATTCTCTGATCTGATGGGGGGAAAGGGGTGCTCTAAAGAGGCTATAAACTACGCCACCATGACTGAATCCAGCCTGCTGTATTGGATTGGTTTTTTTTTTTTCTTTCTTTTTTCTACACTGTGCATTTGAAAAACACACAAAACAGCCAGACATGGTGGTGTGTGCCTCTAATGTTACACATACATACGACCGTGATCATATATATGTCGTCGTTAAAATCTTAAAGACCAACTTTATGTTGATTATTAATATTTGGCAAAGGGGAGATTCTATTCAAAGGCCAGATTTCTGGATTCCTTTGACTTGTAAAAACTTTTTTGCTACAACAGGCCTGCGGTGGCCGGAGGGCATGTCCCCCTGTGCCTGCCCTGCTCTGTCCTTTGTCTGCTTGGCCTTATAGGAAGGCTGTGACTACCGATTCCAAAAGGACAAGCATGGCTGTGACTGAACTCCAACCCCAAGGTGCAAACCATCTGTAGCTTTGCATGTGACTCAGACCACTGCTCTGTTCCTTCTTGCCACTCTTGTCATTCCCTTCCCCACTGTATACTGTTTTTCCCCAGTTTGCCTCCTTCTGTCACCCTAACAATCTGCACCCCATGTTAACCAGCCAGGGAATTATCGGGATTGGGGAAGTGTGACCTTTGCCTCCTTTCCAATGTTACGTGAGGAGATTCCTGCCCTGCAGCTTGGAGTCAGGGAATGTTGCCTCCACATCTCAAAACTAACAGTGAGGTGGCACTGATTGTAGACATGCCAGCTCTGCCACAGTCCCCAAGAGAGATGAGGGATTTGAGCCCCTAAAACGTGAGAGGAAAGAGGCCAGCTGCAGGCCTGGCATTGGCAGGTATAAAGCCCAGCATGACTAGCCCAGTTCCTCTTCAGGCATCTTCCAGTTGCTAAGCTCCCTCTGCTGGGTGGGGCCAAGGGCGTGGGCAATGCAATAAAAGAATCAGGAAGATTAGTATTTCACGGCTTAGGAATTCAGAATTTAGGATCCAAGTCCCAAATCCTCATGGGTAAATTCTTGGGTTAGGGGGAGTGGGATACCCTAACATTAGCAGTTCTAGGTTGGATATGATTACATGCCTAGAATTCTAGCCCTCGAGAGGTAGAGGCAGAGGATCAGTGTACATTCTAGGCCAACCTGGTCTATGAGTTCTGGGCCAGACAAAGCTACGTAGAGCAACCTTGTGCCATCTTTTACTCCTTGGGCATTATTGTCATGAAGTGATCTAGAGAGTGTCTTGCCATCTAGAGCTCTGTTTTCAAAAGTCCAGGGCTTTTGTTTGCTGCCCTGGGATAGAGGTACCAGAAGGACCTTGGGGTCATTCCCAGGACTCCTATTTGGTCGGAAAGAGGCTCCCTATGACTCGATACAAAATAAGTGTTGGGCATTTCTCCTGATTCAGTCACACTCCTGGGTCTCCCCCTGGCTCCACACATTGGAAATACACATTCCCTTGTCTCTCCTTCCAGGGAACCCGGGAGAATGACGATGTTGTGAGTGAGGACTTGGTCCAACAGGATGTCCAGGTAAATGATGCTCATGGAGCTTGCCATGGCTCAGCCAGGAGCCTTATGGGAGGGGAGAGGTCAGGGGCCTTGGGATGGGGTAGAGGCGAAGTCTTTTCTATCAAGCACTAGAAATACCTGAATTGCAGTGTGGCTTTTATAGGGCTTCAACGGGAGAAGGATTTAGGTTTCTAGCAGAGGGGACTTAACATAGCATGTTAAATCCACAAGTGTTTTGAGGTAAAATGGTGGTAAACCATTTGGGGTAAAACCAAGGTGGACAGTCTCTGAGGAACAACACCCGAGGTTGACCTTCTGACACCATCCTCCACCACACACACAGAAAGAGGAAACTATGGGAGCTTTGGGAAGGGAGAGAAGGAAAGAGCATTCATCTGACAGACCACGGGGGTGTTTTTGGAAGAAAGGGGATAATAAAGATTGAGCTGTGGGAGCTTCCACAGAAAGGAGGATGGGAATGTGCAAGGGTGAAGGAGTCACCAGCAACTGCCGTGTTCAGGACCAAGCAGCCGTTCTGAGTGGCTTAGCCAATGCATCCTGTTTCCTTCAGGTTTGTTCTGTTAAGTCTCCCATTTCTTCTTTCTCAGGACCTGTATGAGGCAGGGGAACTGAAATGGGGAACAGACGAGGCCCAGTTCATTTATATCCTGGGAAACCGTAGCAAACAGCACCTACGGTTGGGTGAGTTCTTGAAAACCATCTCAGGTGACGCCGAGAACCGCTCTCTTTTCCTTTTCTACTGACGGTGCTCCGTGCTCAGGAGCCACGTCATCTCCAAACCAAACGCTAGCCTTGTTGTGGGTGGGGTCGTTGCTTACCTAAGTCATTATCAGGCCAGTACTAGCCCTGTCTCAAGATAAGGGTCCTGCACAGCACACATGACACAACTGTGTCACCTCCCAGCCCCCACACCAAAGTGCCAGCCTCAGCCTCCTGCTAGCATTTGACTCCCGGCAATTACACCATCCCTTCCAAGAGTCTCTGTTCTTTCCTTGTTGCTATGGCAACACTGGTAGATGTCGTGTTTGTCTGTCTATCTGCCTTCCTCAGTGTTTGATGAGTATCTGAAGACCACGGGGAAGCCCATTGAAGCCAGTATCCGAGGGGAGCTCTCTGGAGACTTTGAGAAGCTGATGTTGGCCGTGGGTATGTACTGGGGGCCGCAAAGGGGTCTGGGATGTCATCCTAGAAGTAAGGGGATAGGAAAGGGATTCCCATGGTGTGGAGCTGGAGGAAAACAAGTGGTAGAGGCTTGGTTGAACAGCGAGGCTGAGACTGGGAATGGGAAGGAACGGAGCCTCAGACACTGACACCTTGTGCTATGTGACAAGAGTAGAAAATATTCACCTCAGGTTGGGATAATGCTCACCAAAGACCTCGGAGGGCCTTTGCCAGGCATCACGCTGTGTTGTTTTTAGAGGGCAGAAGCTAGCGCCTCCATTTTCTATCTCCACTTAGCAGAAGAAACTGGGTTACATAAAGGGTGAGTCCCTTGTCAAGGAATGGCTTTGTAATGGATCAGGGTCACCTTGATTGATGAGTCCAGATTCAAACCTTGGGCCTCTCACTAACATCCCACTTAGCTGGAGCAAGTCATGTAGCCCAGCTGGGCCTTGTCTTCCTCATCTGTTAAATGAAGGTAGGAGGGCTGGCCAGACTTAGCTGAGGTCTTGGGCTAGTCTGGTATTTTAAGAGTTAGCATAGCTGGACCACAAGTCAGTTAGGTTTTTGTTTTGTTTTGTTTTTGTTTATTTAGTTAGTTAGTTTTTGGTTTGTTTTGACTTTTGGTTTTTCAACATGGGGTTTCTCTGTATAGCGTTGGCTGTCCTGAAGCTAGCTTTGTAGACCAGGCTGGCCTTGAACTCACAGGGATCCTCCAGCCTCTGCCCCCCTGAGTGCTGGGATTATAGGCATGAGCCGCCATGCCCAGCTGTGTTTTGTTTTTGATACATGGTCTCATTTTGCTCAGGATGGTCTTAAATTATGAGGTCAGCTGAGGCTGACCCTTGACCTTCTGCCTCTGCCTCTGCCTGTCTGTGTAGGTAGGACACCATGCCAGTCTTATTTGAGAAACTGAAACATTCTGTACCCCTGAGCTGACCTACATTCTCTCTCTCTCTGTCTCTCTCTCTTCCCCTCTTCCCTTGTGTATAAAGCTAGAGGGACTCTGACACTGAGGGCCATTAGAATCAAGGGTTCTTCCTGCCTTCTAATTTGGTGGTCTCTAATAGTTAGGAGCAACCTGCAGCACACACATGTGCCATCCCACCATTAGGCAAGATTGCAAGTTTAAGGCCTGCCTGGGCTATGGGAGTGAATTTGAGGCTAGCCTGGGCAAACTGGAAAATGCTGTTTCAAAATAAAAGGTAATGAAAGGATGTGGCTGTATCTCCGTTGTAAAGCACTTCCCAGCACACCCAGGGCTGGAGACAGAGGGGAGGGAAGGCGAAAGCGAGTGAGCTAGCCCCTTGGGCATGCCTTCCCCTCTCCCAGGCAATGGGGATAATTCTTCCTCTTCTCCATTTTCCTTCCTTTTTCCCCAGTGAAGTGCATCCGCAGTACTCCAGAATATTTTGCTGAAAGGCTCTTCAAGGCCATGAAGGTATGTTGTGGGGTGTGGCTGCCAACCCTAACAACTTAATTCAGCCCACCAGAGTGGGAGGTAATGACAGATTGCCAAAGGTTGTCCTCTGACTGCCAAACACTTTCCAGTGTTTGGTGAGTTCGAGAGATGGCACACTGGTTAGGAGCACTTGCTGCTCTACCATAGGACCTGAGTTCAGTTCCCAGTGCACCTGTATCTGCTCACAACTGCCTCTGACTCTAATCCAAGGGATCTCATGCTCTTTCTGGCCTCTGTGGTCACCTACACACATACGGCATATATATAGGCAGATACATAAATAAAAGTCCTTTTTAAAAAGTCACAAAAAATAACTAACCAGAATATACCTGTGCATATCAGACCACTTTAGCAAACACTTTGGCATCTGTCGGTAATCTTTCCACATTCATAAGGCTGATCGTTATGACCAGGCAGCTGGTTTCCCTCTGGGTGGGTGAGTTTCAAAGGACAGCGTTTCCTAGGCTTTCAGTCTTGACACAGACACCTGTGACATTTCCATGGCACATCAGAGTAAATGGACTTTTGTAACGAGAGATCCAGGAGCTCGGGCTGTCCCCTGGCAGAGTGGATGTCAGACATTCCCCTTGCTCTGGTGCCAGAGTGAGGGTGGGCTGCTTAGGGGTGATGAGGACAGTCAAGTGTGGCAACCACATATGAAGGGGGCAAGATTGGGATTGTGACAAGGCAGGGCACAGCAGAGCTTCAAGTATGGAAACAAGTACGTGAAGACAAGACCAGTGGCGCTTCAAAGTGAAGGTCACTGTCTGCCTTCTTTGTACCTGGTTTGAATTTCTTATTATGAAAATGCTAGTTCTGCCCACGCTGGTCTCTCTTGCCACCTAAGCCTCTGAGTGCTGTCCCACATGCCCTTGTGTCTTCCAGGGCCTGGGAACGCGAGACAACACCCTGATTCGCATCATGGTCTCCAGGAGCGAGCTGGATATGCTTGACATTCGGGAGATCTTCCGGACCAAGTACGAGAAATCTCTCTACAGCATGATCAAGGTGAGCAGGCTGTGGCGGGTGGGGAGGGGAGCAGAGAGCTTCCACCACCACCTAGGCCTCAGGAACCTCTACACTTGGGTTTTGAGCATCCCAAGAGCTTTTGCTTTAGTGCATTTTCGAGGAAGTTCAAGCAACACGGGAGCTGGTGGCAGGAGCGGCTAGAAAGCAAGGCATGGGGGTTGGCGTGATGGTTCAGCTGTTGAAGTGCACTGGCTGTTCTTGCAGGTTCAGTTCCCAGCAACCACATCGTGGCTCACAACCATCTATAATGAGATCTGGTGCCCTCTTCTGAAGTGCAGCTGTACATGCAGGACAAACACTATCCATAATAAATAAATTAATCTTTAAAAAAAAAAAAAGTAAATAAAGGACAGCCAGGGCTACACAGAGAAACCCTGTCTCAAAAAGCCAGATAGATAGATACATAGATACATAGATGAAGACATTGTTGAATCCTGCAGGGTTTGCAAATAGATTTAAGGCCAGGATGCTGTCCCAAGGGCAGTGGGTATACACAGTCTCTGCAGAGAAGTTCACTGAAGAATACAAGTGAGCATTAATGAGAGAACCCTGGAGCCTGCTGGGTGATTAGTATTGTCTCAGGGGTGGCCATCCCATGAGGCCTTGCTAAGAGATCATCAGATGTAATAATTGTATAAGCCAATAGGGGAAAAGGTCCAGTTTGTACTCATAAATGGTATCCACAGAGGATTTTTTTTTTTTTTTATGGGTGTCATGCACTGGAAATTCCATGGGGAAATGAGTTTGGGAAAAGCTAGAATAAACGAAGATGCTGTTCCACCTTAGACCTTCCCACAGCCGCTAATATCTTCACAAGCCTCAAGGGAAAAGTCATCTGTATTCACACATGGCTCGATCAGATATTTGATTTTGAGCATTTTCCCTTATGGGTCTGTCATGGAACTGTACTTCTGTGAAATGTTCCTTCCCTTGGAAGTCCTGAACCTGGGGCAGTGGGATGGCATGGGAAAACCAACAAGCATCTTGGAATTCCATGTTTCGTGACATCAGCTTGGCAATAAATTGTAATTACGAAGAAGTATTTATACCACAGGAAATGTGTCCCCACATAGCAGAGACCTGTTTCTTCCTGTCTTTCCCAGAGAGCTGGTTGCTAGATAGTGACCAGCGCTGCTCTGTTGGTGGCCTCAGCCACTGTGGGCTAAAGGAGAAGAAAGGGCTGGTGCGAGTGTTCTTCCTCCCCGTCTTGTCCAAGAAGAGCCGGGGCTGTGTTCAAGGTCATCTTACCTCTTCTCTCTCTCCACAGAATGACACCTCTGGTGAATACAAGAAGGCCCTGCTGAAGCTGTGTGGAGGAGACGATGAGTAAGTGGCTTCGGGGCCCCAGGATGGAGAGCTGGCCTGACTCTTCTGGTACCCGTCCCTGTGGATGGGTGAATTGCAGGCTTCGTCTCCTCCAAGGCTGCAACGCCAAATGGGGAGAGAGGCCTTCGGCATTCCAGCCTCTACTGTCTTGGGGTCTGTGTGTCTGAACAAGTGTGGCCACTGTCTGTGGAATTCTCTGCTGTGTGTCGGCCTGGCATCTGGACTAGGAATTAGAATTCAGGAGATTTAAGCTGGGTATGGTGGCACACAGCACAGGCAGGCAGATCTCTGTGTATCCAGCCTGATGGATGTAGCAAATTCCAGGCCAGGCAGGACTGAGAAGTGAGACTTTGTCTCAAAAGTGGAAGGGGGAGGAGCCAGGAGAAGTGGGTCTTAAGAAACCACCTTTAAGAAGGCCTGGGGATGAGAATTGGCCTGGCTTCTTCCCATGACTGCCATGGAGTTCTGTGGGCAGCTCGGGAAAGAGGTGAGGAGGTCGGTAGGCTACAGGGGCCCTTCCTGGGATATTAAACGAAGTGACTCTGATATGGCACAACCGAATTTATGCAGAGGAAATTGTGGGTTGAGTTCCTCTTCCAGGGTTCAGTGGTCAGTTAAGGAAGAGACATGAAGCTTTGGATTGACTGCACTCAGCACCATGGAGACCACAAATCCCATGCCCACACACCCTGCCCCTCACACGTCCAGATGCCTTGCACAACGAGATACAGGAATGATGCAGGCATAACCTGTCCTTGGCTTATTTGAGAGGGGATTTGGGCAGAAGTCGCCCGTGCTCTAAGGAAGAAAGAGGAGGCTGAGGACTATCCTATTTGGGCCTGGGCCAACAAGGCTGCTGGGAAAGCTCCACTGCATAGTTAGAGGGAGCTTAAGGACAAAGGGGGGCTAGGGGGTCCTCTGATGAGTCAGGCTAGAGGAAAAATAAAGCAGACAGGTTTGTGTTAGTGTTGATGTATATGTGTGTGTGTGTGTTTTGGTTGTATGTGTGTTTGTTGGTTGTATGTGTGTTTGTTGTGTATGTGTGTGTTGGTTGCATGTGTGTCTTGGACGTGGGAGTGTGCTGGAAGCATGGGGTGTTGCCCATGATGACATTCCCTCCCGTCCTCTCCCCAAACCCCTCCATTCCAGTGCGGCTGGCCAGTTCTTCCCGGAGGCAGCACAGGTGGCCTATCAGATGTGGGAACTTAGTGCAGTGGCCCGCGTCGAGGTCAGACCCTCCCCACTTCCTGCCTGACCTCCTGATCACTGGCTCCCCTTCTGCTTGCACCTTTCCCTGCTGCGCTGGTTGGCCCCCAGCTGCCCCCTGGTGGCCAACCCGAGCTGAGGACTTACTATCTGAAGCTTCCAGATCCCTGCACCGGTTCTAACAGCCCGGGAGTGTTCTGCCTGCCCTCTACTAACAGGACTTCCTCCGTGAGACCCGGCTGGTTCCATGGGGCCTCTGCATCCTGGGCCTGGCAGTTGGGCTTAGCATGCTGAGAGCAGAGGGCACCCCTAGATGTGCTACTATAGGATTCAGGGGTCCACACAGGACAGGATGAAAGGTTTCACAGGGGACCCTGGCAAACTGTTCTGAGACTTCTGCATCCTCACCCTCCTCGTGGCCTCTGTGCCTGAACCTTTCAGGTGATGGAGTCAGACATGGCAGCCCTGGGGGCCTAAAGGCTCTAAATGATGTTCTTTTCTTCCCTAAATTTGAAGGCAAATGTAAGAGGTCTCAGGTTATATAAGGAATGAGCTTGGCTTGGCAGAGGGAGGCACCTCCCAAGGCATTAACTAACACCCAGCCTCACAAAGAGAGCCTACTCCTTTTCAGTTCTACCAGCCTTTCAGATAGGTAAAGAGAAATGGGCTCAGCGCCACATCTGTGCTGTGTGAGGTAGCTCCCTTTTACACAGAGAGCCGTGGGAGCTGGCCTAAAGTTCAGTGGCTTAGGCAAGCGATAGCATCTTAAATTTGGTGACCTTAAACCTGAGTGAAGGCAGGCATTACACTTCCTTTTATGAGTGATCATCTGTTAATGACATAGGACACATTCTTTCTAATTTGTGATAGTATAAAAGTATAAAAAATTATTTTTTATCTCAGAGCTAATGTTTGCCTAGTAAGCGTGAAGCTGCCACTATTGAAAAAATATTTTTCATCCATTTATTAATTTGATAAGTATCTTCTCGATGTCTGCTATGTGTCAGGCACTTGTTAGCACAAGAGGATATATAAAATAAATACATAAGGCTAGTTTAAAGGTGGCACATACCTTTAAACCCAGCACTCAGGAGGCAGAGGCAGACAGATCTCCAGAAGTTCAAACCCAGCCTGGTCTATGTAGTGAGTTCCAGGCTAGCCATGACTACATAGTGAGACTCTATCTTAAGGAGGTGGGGGAGACAAATATCACATAGGGTGTGATGGCACATGCCTGTGATTTTAGCACTTGGGAGTGGAGGCAGAAGGATCAGAAGTTCAAGGCCAGCCTCTACCACAATGTAGTTTACTTTGAAACCTGCTTAGGCTACATGAGATCTTTGAAAGAAAAAAAAAAAAAAAAAAAAGCCAGACTTGGTGTTGAGCGCCTTTAAACCCAGCACCTGGGAGGCGGAGGCAGGCGGATCTCTGAGTCTGAGGCTAGCCTGGTCTACAAAGTGAGTTCCAGGACAGCTAGGGCTACACAGAGAAAACCTGCCTCAAAATAAATAAATAAATAAATAAATAAGTAAGTAAGTAAATAAATAAATAAATAAATGAAATGAAATGAAATGAAAATAAAAGCATTTTACAAGTATTTAAGGGGTGTACTTCAAAATAGATCTGTTGAAGCTGGGATGTTGCTTGGTATGTCAAACACCCCTCCCCCAGTTATTCTAAACAAAACTGTTTAAGCAAAGGTTGGACAGGATGATGCACTTTAATCCCAGCATTCAGAGAGGCAGAGGCAAGCAGTTCTCTGAGTTTCAGGCCAGCCTGGTCTCCATAGTGAGTTCCAGGCCAGACAGAGCTACATAGTGAGACCCTGTCTCCAAACAAAATAAAACAAGTACAAAATCCAAAAACCGCTTAAGCAAAATAAAAAAGAAAATAAGAAATAGCAAATACGGAAAGCAACATGGACGTCATTGAGTCATGACTAAAATCCGGAAACTGTTCTGCTTCTGAGTCCTCTGGCCTCCTTATGGGGAGACATGGCTGCAGGGTAGGTGAGATGCTGAGGGGCCCCTATGGAATGTTCGGCCTCCAGGGCTGGGACAGTCTGATGGCAGGAGCTGCCCTCTTCCCAGCACTCACCTGTCCCCGGGCCTGAAACTCTCTGCTCTCTCAGCCCTGGGTGGGCTTTGTCTGCTGTGCCTCTTTCCCCAGGCTGCTTGGCTTGGGACTCAGTCTGGAAAGGCCCTGCCACTCTGCATGCTCCTCTTTGGACCTGGCTCCCCAGGGGCCTCCAGACACCTGCTGAGCCTCTTTCTCCTTCTCACAGCTGAAAGGTACCGTGTGCGCAGCCAACGACTTCAACCCTGATGCTGATGCCAAGGCCCTGCGGAAAGCCATGAAGGGAATTGGTAAGGGTGCCAGGGACCGGAGAAGACCCCTGGGGGCAGGTTTGGCAGGAAGGGTCTCGGGGAAGGGAAATGAAGCCTCCAGCTAGGCTCTGCAGGATGATGAACACTCTGTGGGAGTTTCCTTCCACCTCAGGCAGGAGGGAAGGATAGGAGAGGATCTGGAGTGAGCTTGACAAGAGTCTTTCCTGGACACCAAGGTGTCTGTCCTCCTGCCTCTGAGCAGGGGCCTGGTGTGGAATAAATACTGGTCATCAAGCCTTGGGTGGTGACTCAGTATGCCTCTGGACAAGCACCTAAACAGCTCTGGGTCCCACTTCCCCACTGTGTAAAGGGTCCTAGGAACCCAAAAGCCCCATGCTGGGGGACAGCACTCCAGTGGTTGGCTCTTCCAGGCTGAGTTTGCTGATGGTGAAAAGAGCCACCACGTGAGTGGATAATCAGCTGCCTGCACCCAACTGAGGCTATGCTTGGAAAGCCCTTGCTGGGAAGGAGACGGGGTGGGGGGAGGCTGGCTTCCGTTGTCTTTCTTCCACCCATATATGCCCAGCAGCAGCTCCCAAAGGTCTTGCGCCATGTGAGTCTCAGGACTTCTTCCTGTGAGAGTAATGCCTACCTGGCATCTTCGTAACTGTGACACTACAGGAGCAAATGCCTTGAAAATCAGATCCCACCAAGGATGTGGTGGTGCATGCCATTCAGTTGATCCTAGTCAGAAGCTAGCCTGGTCTACAGAGTGCGTTCCAGGACAGCCAGGGCTACAGCGAGACCTGAGGTTGGTGGCATTCGCCTGGCAGGCAGGAGGTGGTGCCCCAGGGCCCTCAGCCAATCTGCTATGCTTAGGGAGACCTGAGAGGCACTGACAGGGAGTTGAAAGCAAAGGAAATACAGGCACTGGTGAGGCTGAGATTGCAGAGTTGGAAGGATCCCTTAGTGGTTACTCAATCCTAGTCATGGTACAAATGTGGAAACTGAGTCCCGGAAAAGAAAGAAGCTCTCCGAGACAAGCTAGGTAGGCACTGACAGAGCCAAGATCAGAACTCAGAGGTGGACACCCAGCCCGTTGCTTGCCACCCCAACTGCCAACCTGGTGCTCATCGCCCAGTGCCTGCCAGCTTCCTGGTTGTACTTGTAGCCCATCCAGTGGCACGACAGAAGAAAGCAAGTAGGCTGGGCAACGTGACCACTGGGGCGAGGAGCTCATGGCCTCCATTGCAAGCCTTTATCCTGACAAGGACTGATGGGAACTATCAGTGGGGGTTGGGGTGGGGAGGATGTTGGGAAAGCTGAAGCACAGAACCTCCTCTGAGGTACGTGGCTTTGGTGACCCAGGAACTGACGAAGCTACCATCATCGACATCATCACACACCGTAGCAACGCCCAGCGGCAGCAGATCCGGCAGACCTTCAAATCTCACTTTGGCCGGGTAAGGGTCCTCCCCCCCCTGGTGTGGACCCCACGGTGTCGCAGTTTCCTAGTGAAGCTTGGCCTGTCACTGCCAGCTCTAGAAAACGGCACCAGGGGCTTTGTGGTAATGAGACCCCCCCACACACACACACACACATACACACACACGTACACACACACCTGGTTGGGATGTCTTGGAATGGTCTAGCCTTGGGTCCACTCTGTTCCCACAGTTCCTTGTGATCAGTGAGTGATATGCGTTGTGAGATGGCTTGGCGATGCCACAGTCAAAGATGGTGGCGGTTTCTCTGTGGGTTTCCAGTGTGACCTCGACTCTGTCCTTGCAGGATTTAATGGCTGACCTGAAGTCGGAGATCTCAGGAGACCTGGCAAGGCTGATTCTGGGGCTCATGATGCCACCAGCCCATTATGATGCTAAGCAGCTGAAGAAAGCTATGGAGGTATAGCCTTCATCCTAAGGAGTGGGGGGAGAGGGTCAGAGCTGCAGCTCAGGTCCTTTGTGTGGACTTTCTAGGGAGCTGGCACAGATGAGAAGGCTCTTATCGAAATCCTGGCCACTCGGAACAATGCCGAAATCCGGGCGATCAATGAGGCCTACAAGGAAGGTGAGTATGGGAGGGCTGGCCCAGCTTTATTTTATTTTTTTATAATTTGTGTGCGTGCATGCGCGTGCGTGCATGTAGGTCAGAGGACAACTTGCAGGAGTCAGTTCTCACCTTCTACCATGTGGTTTCCAGGAATCAAACCCACTTAACTCAGGTCATCAGGCTTGGCAGCAAGCATCCTTACCTGTTAAATTATCTCATCGGCCCCACCTTGCTTTTTGAGACAGGGTCTCTTCCTGGCCTAGGGCTTGCCAGTTTGGCAAGGCTGGCTGGCCATCAGTCCCCAGGGATCTATTCTCCCCCTCATCAGCTCTAGATTATACATCACACACCTAGCTTGTTTTGGGTTTTGTTGTTGTTTTGTTTTGTTGTTTTATTATTTTGTTTTTGTTTGTTGAGACAGCATCACTGTTTGTAGACCAGGCTGGCCTCAAACTCAGAGATCCGCCCGCCTCTTCCCTCCCAAGCACTATATCTAAAGGTGTGCACCACCATGCCCGGCTCTTGCTTTTGTAATGTGTGTCTGAGGATCCAACTCAGGGCCTCATGCTTGAGTGGCAGGCGCTGACTGACTGAGCGATCTGCCAGCCCTCCTATGAGGCTTTGACGAGCCTCTTGGTGTACCCAAGCTCTGCATCTAGGGGAAGTTGACTGCAGGAACAAAGTCCTGGTGGTAGAACACAATTCAGATAGAATTTAGGCAAAAGAGAAGGCATTTAGCCTGCTGATGAGAGGGAAGGTGGCTTCGTGGGACTGAGGCCTGAACAACGGCAGAGACCCACCCTCAGAAGGGTCTCCCCTGCCTAGTCATACCCTATACTGCCATTCTCTTTAAATTCTTAAGCCTTCATCTGTTTTCATTCTGATGCTCTATGGTTTGTGGTCAGACCTGGGGACAGTTTTTCTCTTGCAGAGCTTTGAGACAACAGGCATTTTAAGGTGGAGAGGAGGGGGAGTACTAAGGCCCCAGCTATACTTTGGGGTTTGGCAGCTGCTGTTAGGAGGGATGGCGGGGTGGGGGCAGGGAAGTTGGAAGGTAATGAGGGCTTGGGGTGTAGCTCCAGATCCCTGTCTAGCATGCACAGTGTCTGGGGTTTAATCCCCAACGGTGCAACAAAATGAATGGATAATTAATGGGGAAGGAAGATAATGAACGGGAGAGATGGGGAGCTGGTGCAGGGGTGTGGAGGGGCTGGGAGCAGAGCAGCTGCCTCCTGCAATCAGCAGAACGATAGCTGACCTGGTCCTGGCTCCGGTGCGAGTCTCACTCCCCAATCCTCCCAGCCTGCAGCTACTAACACCCTTCTTTCTATCTCAGACTATCACAAATCCCTGGAGGATGCCCTGAGCTCAGACACATCTGGCCACTTCAGAAGGATCCTCATTTCTCTGGCCACAGTGAGTGGATTCATGGTTCTAAGGCCCGTCCATCCACCCTGCCCTTTTGCCTCCTCAGGGCTCAACCTCAAATCTCCGTTGTTACTTTTGTTGTTGCTTTGTTTTGTTTTTTAAGACAGGGTTTCTCTTTGTAGCCCTGCCTGTCACGGAACTCACTCTGTAGACCAGGCTGGCCTTGAACTCACAGAGATCTGCCTGCTCTGCCTCGGGAGTGCTGAAATTAGAGGTGTGCGCCACCATCTGCCCAGCCTGTTCCCTTTTCAAAGCTGGCTTGCTGCCATCTCTGAGAATTCCTTTTTGATGGCCGTATTGTGACTTTTTAGGTCTCCTTCCTACAGGACAAAGCCACATGGGTGACCCTGTCCTGTGTTGCCACTGAGTTCCTATACCCAGGGGCCGAATAGCCTACCCTGGAATTGTTTCTGTTTTGTAAAAGATAAAGGAGTGCAGGGAGGTGACTGATTAGACCCAGGGGTGACTGAAGGTTGTGTGGAGGAGAATGTGTGGGGACTGACTTCTCCATGATCCTGTGACAGGGGAATCGTGAGGAAGGAGGAGAAAACCGGGAGCAGGCTCGGGAAGATGCCCAGGTGAGACTCCAGCCCGGGTGTACTGGATATCTGGTGGGTCCCTGCCAGGCACTGGCTGTCAGGTGGGGCGGGCTCCCGGCTGGGACACGGCTGGTTTGACTGACATCAGTCAGAGGGGGTTGATCTCAGCAACTCCACTCAAAAAGCAAGGCCGGTCCTTTAGGGCTTTCACAATGGGTTTGTGAGAGTGGAGCTGGCCTCACTGGGACTTCCCATGTAGACAGCGGGATTTTCCAAACTAGAAAGCGGTCACAGATGCCCCAAGTCAAACCCAAGGTGATGAATTACAAATCACACAGCAAACCTGGCCCTGGGAGAATGGACCCAGAAAGAGTGGGGTTTTGCTGAGAAAGAGGCCTGAGAACTAAATGTCTAGGTTTCGTGTTTGGAAAAACAAGACCCAAGTGAAGGAGAGTGACCTGGCAAAGTGTGGCAAGCTCCCAAAGGCTGGTGCTGCTGTCGCTCACCAGTGTTGGTATGTCCCAGGTACCCTGTGTCCAGTGTTGACTAGACGCTGCTGAATAGTGACAGGGGAGGGGTCGCCAGGGCTCCTGGCTGCTCTGCTTCAGTCCTGCTTCTCCGGCTTCTCTGAAGCTGTACTTAGAGGCTGAGCTACATCAAGTTCATCCTTCCTGCACTATGGCTGCACAGCTGACACTGGGCTCCTCATTACTGTCCCCATGGGTCTCTGCCTGCTGCAAGAGCTCCCCCATGCTGGAGATGGGCGTAGATGCCACCAGCCGTAAGGCTAGCACGCTGGGGTTACAGCTCATCACGAGAAAGAGCACTGACAAATTGAGAATCAGGGTCAGAGCCGGCTGCTGAGCCCCCAGGTTCACTAGCAGACGTGGCCGAGACACCAGAGTCTAAGCTCGGCCATCCCCAGGGCGACCTGGCCAAACGGAAATTGAAAAGTTAGGCATGTCTCAGCATTTGGGGGTGCTGAGGCAGGAGGCTCGGGAGCCTAGCCTCAGCTTCCTGAGACCATGTCTCCAGAAGAATAACAACAAACCCCCAAACCTCAGTTCTAGAGTTTAGAAGGTATGCCCTGCGCTGAGCGAGTATTAACACTATCCTGTGTACCATCCTGTTTTTCCTGGGGGAAGAGCAGCCTTAACCTGCCCACAGGGACAGTTTCTGATTGGCACTCAGGTCCACCTGACTCTAGTCTGCCTTGCACAATACCCTCCAGGACCCAGCACCATCATCTCCCATACAGCTCCTTGCTCAAGAAGCTATGGTCCAGTTGCCCAGTCTTGTTCTGAAATAATTTGTCAGAAGCTTCAGGGTCCTGGACAACAGGGTATTTTCAATTATATTCAAGCACATTCGTGGGAGCTAGTCACGGGGTAACCCCACTGTCATTTACTGAGCCTGCATTTCACACACACACATCCAAAAGGTGTTTACTTAGTATTCGCGAGCAGCCTCATAGTGCAGCTGGACCCCAACATCCATCCTGAACCCCAACATCATCCCTAGGGAATGCTGCTGCCTTGCATGCTAGAGGGACAGAGGTAGTCCTGGCCCAGCAAGGAAAGGGGAGAGAGAGAACCAGGGTAGACACACTGGAGGGACCATAGCCCTGCACTGACAGAGGCTCAGTAGCTTCTCCATGAACGAGGAGTAGATCCTGGTACGGTGTCAGCTCATTTTCTGACAACTAGCAAATTTTTGTTTCGTACGTATTCGTTCATAGAAACTTTAGAAAACAAAACTAAAGAAAAAAAATCTGTCCCCCACCCCCCAAAAAAAAATCTAGCCCCAGTAATAGCCACCTAATACATATTCCTTTTATAGCAGAGTAAACCATGCCTATAATCCCAGCAGAGGCAGAGAGGCGGGAGGCTCCATGCAAGTTCAAGGCTAACCTGGTTTGCGTAATGAGTTTCAGGACTCTATCAAAGGCCCTATTGAAAGAGAGGAGGAGGAGGACAGGAGGACGAGGGAGAGAGGGAGGGAGGGAGGGAGGGAGGGAGGGAGGGAGGGAGGGGGAGTGATATATGGGGTCAGAAGGCAGCTTTCAGGTTTCAGTTCTGTCCTTCCAGCTAATCAAGGCAGGGTCTCTCCTGTTTCTGCCTCAGTGCTGCTCCCGGCCCTGCAGGCTTTCTCTGGCTCTCGCTGTGGGGGTGCTGGGGTCACAGAGGTGTGCACCACCGCATGAGCTCTGGGGATCAAACTCAGCAGGTTCTCAGGTGTTCATGGCAAGTGGTTTTGCCCACTGAGCCATCTCTCCAGCCCAAATTAATCATTCTTTAGTATACAGTTTAGTGACATCAAATATGTTCACGGTGCGTAACCATCGCCGCCACCACCCCTACCCCGAAATCTTCTTATTACAAAACTGAAACTCTGCACCCTTGAACTAGTGACTCTCATTTCCTCTACGCCTAACCCATAGCAAGCACTAGCCTGCTTTCAGTCTCTGAATTTGACCCCTCTGCAAACATCACGTTAGGGGCTTGTCTGCTTGTAGCAGGGCTTACTTCGCTCAGCACAATGCCTCCATGATTCAACTAGGTGGTTGAAAATATGTAAAGCCGGGAAGAGCCCATAAGCCTTGAAACCAGGATCATTATGGTTTGACATTTAAATCAAGATGAAATAAAGTATTTCTGCTATGGAAAATGTGGTCGTAGAGATCCAGGGTGAATAAAGGAGCAGCTCTGGCCTCATGCTTGCTCTTTTCAGAGGCATGCACTTGAGGGCCACACTGTCCACTTATGAACCTCCTGGTGAATATGAACATTTTTCCATCTCAATAAAAGAAACACTAGTATATCTAATACATACCCACTTGTGGACTTATGGAAATTATATAGATCAGTCTTGTTTTTGCGATGCTGGGGTTCAAACCCAGGGCCTTACTCTGAGCTTTTTAAAAGAATGTGTTATGTGTGTCTGTGCGCCTAAGTGCAGTGCCTACAGAGGCCAGAAGAGGGCAGCTCATCCCTGGATCTGGAGTAATGAGCCATCTGACATGGTTGCTGAGAACTCTAGGCCTCTGATAGAGCAGCACCTGTGCTTATCCACGGAGCCATATTCCCAGGCCCCTAAATCTTTTTTAAAGCTGGTGGGACCTTGAACGTGGTGGCACCTTCTGTAATCCCAGAACTCAGAAGGCTGAGGCAGGAGGATTGCTGTGCATTTAAGGCCTACCTGGGCTGCTCCACAGTAAGACCTTGTTTCCAAAGAGAAAAAGAAGAAGCCAGGTATGGCAGTGCACTTGGGAGGCAGAGGCAGGCAGATCTTTTGTGAGTTCAAGGCCAGCCTGGTCTATATAGTTCCAGGACAGCCAGGACTACACAGTGAAACACTGCCACAAAATTAACTAACTAAAATACGTACATACATACATACACACACACATACATACACGCTAGGATTTTGGTCTATGCAGGAGAATACAGTGGTTGACAGGATGCTGGGGAAAGGGCTAAGGTACACGTGGGTTCACTGAATTTATTCCCAGACACTCTGGGTCAGAGCAGCTTGGCTCACAAAAGTCCTGGTCACAGTGTTCACGCCATGGGCTGCTTTTATTGAAGAGAACGCTTGCAGTCCCCACCTCTGCCGGGGGCCTGTGACACTACCACCACCCTCCCCTCCCCAGGTCTCAGCCATCTGTCTTTCTGTCTGTGACCTGAGGAGCTAAGTTGACAGAGTCCTGCTGATTCTTTATAGAGAATCAATGCCTGCCCCTGTCCCCTTCCCCATGGCCCTGCAGGCTAACGAGGGAGGTCTCTCCTTCTTCCAGATGTCAGATAAACTGGGGCCTCAGTTACCGAGTATGAAGGGTGTCATTTCCCCTATGGGGAGCCACATTTTAAATTATTCCTGGGCCTATCTTCCACTCTGAGTTCTAGCCCAGAGCTTAGAGAAAGGAAACATCCCTGCCAGTCCTTCACTGTGACCCTGGGGTCTCTTGGGACCTCTGCTACCCTGAGCCAGGCCTTGGGACTCCAGGGTCCTCCCTGCAATCACTGTGGGCTCTGACTCTTGCCTCCCCTCTCTCCCTCCTCTCTCTCCTCCCCGCTCTCAGGTGGCTGCTGAGATCTTGGTGAGTGTTGTGTTCTTCACGGGGGGGTGTGTGAGCAGCTTCTGAGTCAAGCCCTGCTGTGCTTGGGCTGGGCTGAGTTGGGCAGGATCGGGCAATGATTGGGGGTTCCCCTCACAGCTTCTCTCTCTCCCCTTCAGGGCCTTTTAAGGACTCGGTTGGCTAAAAAGGGGCCAGGTAGTGCATGATTATAATCCCAGCACTTGGCAAGCAGAGCCAGGAGGATCGGGAGTTCAAGGTCGTCCTCAGCTTCATAGAGAGTTTGAGGCCAGCCTGGACTACATGAGACCCTGTCTCAAAAGGGGGAGGCAGAAACAAAGCAAGTGTTCCTCAAGCCTTAGCTGTTCACCTCTGGCCTAACTGAGGTCTTTAAGTTGACTCATTTTAATTTTAGGATTAAACCCAAAGTGAGTTTTTAAAAAGAGAATTTAAACAGGATCATAGCTGGCTAGGAGATCATTGTGGAAGGCTTTATGTGGTTAGAGTAAAATGTGTTTGCCCTTGACCCCAACTGGGGAAAACTGACTTTTCCGCTTGTTCACACACATGTCCATGCTCCCCAGGGAAAGTCCCTGGTGTCTGGGTAGGAGCACCAAGTGCCTGTACCCAACTCCTGTCACATCTCTGGGCCCTGGTGACCTCAAAGGGAGATGGAACGGCCACCGCACTCCAGGGTTGAGGAGAGAAGGGACCAACCTCAGTCCTCCTAGATGGCTGCTCTAACCCCATCCTGCTTCCAGTAGGTACTAACCATGGCTTTCTCATGTCTCCCCCTAAACCCTTGCCCTAACTGGGCTCTGCAGGAGATAGCAGACACTCCCAGCGGAGACAAAACTTCCTTGGAGACGCGCTTCATGACAGTCCTGTGCACCCGTAGCTATCCCCACCTCCGCCGAGGTGAGCCTGCTGAGCCCCCAACCCCTTCTAGTGTGGCAGTGGGAGCCCCCAAACATGCCCTGAGCCTCCCAGCCCTCTGTGAAGAGCAGAACAGCCAAGAGCCTAATTCCTTCTCCTCAGGCCAGTGGTGGAGTTAGGGGACCCCAGAGCACCAGCCCCGCAGCCAACTCCATTCCCCTCCTTACCGGAAGCAGGTGGAACACCTAGAATAGGACCAGCTATCCCACCTCAGAACCATGCGGTATTAAGGGTTCTGAGGTGTGCTGTCACGATCCATTGGTGATGTCTGCCAGGAGCAAGGCAGAGAGGGGTGAGGATGGCACAGGACAGGCTACCACAGCTGTGTACAGTGGCAATCCTGAAGCTCCCTCTCACTGAGACCTTGGCAGTCTCACGTGTGTCCATCTGCTCGGCACTTTTCAATGCTTGGATGCTTGGTGCATGACACTGGATTGCCTTGATCCCAGTCCCCCACTTACCAGCTGTGTGGTTGAACAGGCCCTGCCTCAATCCCCTTATCTAAGGATTAGGGTTTTCGTTGTATCTCACATGGTTGCTAGGGGGGAAAAAAAAACCTATAATAAACATAAAGTACTCAGTTTGTGCTGGGCACACAGAGCTTCCTGGATGTCTTTTTGATTGTTATATAAACAGTAAGCTCCATCCCAGCCTACCAGGGAATAAGAGGGAACCCAGAGAGCAAGGCCTCCCTGGGTGGTCTGGTGTACTTCCAGGGCATACACATCGGCCTGGGATAATAGAACTTGCCAAGGCCTGGGGCTATTGGCCAGACCTGGAGGCGCTGGTATGGCCCCGTTGACTCTAAGCTTTATGGCAGCCTTAAGGCCAGAACCTGCCTGCCACCCAGCCCTCCCCAGTGGCCAGTCATGGGTAGGTCAGGCGACCCTCCCCAGCTGGTGTTCACCTCTCTCTCACTTCTTCTGGCCAGTCTTCCAGGAGTTCATCAAGATGACCAACTATGACATAGAGCACGTCATCAAGAAGGAGATGTCTGGGGACGTCAGGGATGCATTTGTTGCCATCGGTAATTGGCAGGCACGGAGAGGGGGGAGGGGCTGGGGCACTGATGGAAACCTGGGCAGGTTCCCTAGAGGAATGTAGCTTTAGCATTATCCCATGCTGCTCTGACCGGGAGAACTAAACACTTCCTCAGATCACCTCCACTGCCAAGGTGTGGTTGTGGGGGACAGCATGAGGACATCTTCAAGGCTACAGGGGCAGCGTGAGAAAAAGAGCATCCAAGGGAAAAGATCAGGAGAGCAGAGAAGAAGGACTGTGCTCTGCCGGACTGGAGGGTGTGGTATATATATACACATATATACCATACATGAGACACACCACGTACACACACATGAGAGTCACAGGACATGTATACATAGCATGCAAGATGCATTCGTTCACAGGGCACACACTGCATGTAGACACTAGACATACCTTAAGCATGTTCTATCATAAGACATTCTGCCGCTGAGCTACTTCAGCCCAGAGACCTTGTTTTTGAATTTTTTGTTACATTTTATCGTTTTGGGTTTTTTTTTTTTTTTTTTTTTTTTGTGTGTGTGTGTGTGTGCATAAATGCATGTGCACAGTTACATACGTGCCAGAGCATGTGTGTGGCGGTCATAAGAAAACTTTGGGGAGTTGGTTCTCTCCACTATGTGGGTCCTGGGTATTGAACTCAGGTCAACTGAACCTGGGCTTGGTCTCAAGCCTACCTTAGCCTGCTGAGACACCTCACAGCCCGGAGGTCTTGATTTTGAAAAGGTCACTTTCCCTTTTGGCTCTCACTTGTTCCTGTGTAAATACCTACATAGCTAATTGTAATATTGCATCCCGTATATACCTGATTTTACCAGCAGGTGGCAGCAGAAAGCTTTCCCGTTCTCCATCAACTGCAAAATGCATCTTGAATTTCATGAATTCTAAAATGTGGTGGGGAAAGTGTCGTAGATTAGATAAATGGAGGTGTTGCTTATGATGGCTCTTTACTGCCTACAGCGATACCAGAGAGGCAGGACAGCATAGCAACTGGAAGCAGAGTTGCTAAGCAGGAAACTGCCCCGGGCAGGACATAGAACCTGTCTCAGCTTCTGCATTATCTGCAGTGGGGCATGAGAACTGGCCTTTCTACCCAGTCTGCAAGTTGTACAGAAGTTGTAAATCCCTTCTCCCTCCACCCCCCCATCCCCACTCAGAATGACTCTAGACTCTGAATATCTAGAGTGGCGTCTAAAACTCCAGTGTGTGTGTGTGTGTGTGTGTGTGTGTATACATGAGTATGCCACATGTATATGGTGCCTGTCAAATCCAGAAGGTGTCGTATCCCCTGGAATTGGAGTTACAGGCAGTTATAAGCAGCCCAAAATAAGTGCTGGGAACCAAATTTGGGTCCTCTGGAAGAGTAATAAGTGCTCTTAACCATTGACCACTGAGCTATCACTCCAGACCCTAAAACCCAGTTTTTAGTCTTCTCACGTGCTTTTAATGCACACAAAATTGACAGCCCTGTATCCAGCATCCGTTAGGGCTTAAGTCCCATTTAAATATTCTGCCGATGTCAGTCGGCTGCGGGCACCTTCCCTGTAGGACAGATGTGTATCGTGGCAGAAAGAGAGGCGGGCATAGGGAGGAGAAAAGGAAGCAGCATTGTGGAGGGGATGCCAACCTTCCTCTGAGCAAGGAAGGTTGGCAGTGACCTGCAGACCCAGTAGGCTGATGGCAGTGCTAGGGGAAAGCCCTGCCAGGGTCTGAGCACACAGCCTCTGACCAGATTCCCTCTCTCTCTCTCTCTCCCCCCTGCAGTTCAGAGTGTCAAGAACAAGCCTCTCTTCTTTGCTGACAAATTGTACAAGTCCATGAAGGTACGGCATCTGACCTGTTCATGCGCACCGTCTTTCCCAAACCTACAGGCAGAGATGTGCGCCATCCCCCAGATGAGGACTTGAGGCTGCTGTTCTTGTGGAAGTCACAAACCTTAAGACCCACTTTCCTAAGCCTCTAGCTGTAAACAGTGCACTGGGGACCAAGCCTTCAGTGCATGGGGGAGGGTACATCATCCACACCACGGCAATGCAAAGACGATTTTCCCGAGGTTACATTCTGAGGATGTGAGTTTTAGCAGGGCCTGTTCAGCCCACATAGGACCTCTGTACCTCTAGCTGGCCAGTCCTCAGCACTGAGATGGTCTGCCTGGGGAAGATAGTGATGGAATAGCCCACCTGGTTTGGGAAGGCAGAAGCGACAGGCAGGCGGACATCTGCCGTAGCCTGACCTAGCTCTGCCTCTCCCTCCCGCTCCATGTCTCTCTCCTTGTTGGCTCCTCCAGGGTGCCGGCACGGATGAGAAAACCCTCACCAGGGTGATGGTCTCCCGGAGCGAGATAGATCTGCTCAACATCCGGAGGGAGTTCATTGAGAAATATGACAAGTCTCTACACCAAGCCATCGAGGTAAGGAAGGGGCTGCTCGGGGGGGGCTCTTGGCTGTCCTTGTAGTCCAGGGAGCTGCTGGATGAAGAGGGGGGGGGACCCTCACTGTTTTTGCATATAAAAATATTTTATTTTATGGGTATGAGTAGGCATCCACTGCCTCCATGTATGTCTGGTGCCTGCCTGGTACTCACAGAGTTCAGAGGAAGGGAACAGATCCCCTGGAACTGGAGTTAGAGACGGTTGTGAGTTGCCATGTGGGTTACGGGACCTGAAGCTGGGCCCTCTGCGAGAGCAGGTCCTCTTACCTGCTGAGCCATCTCTCCAGCCCCTCGTAGTTTTTGTTGGTTTGTTTCATTTTGTTTTGGGGGTTTGGGTTTTTGTTTTTTGTTTTTTTTTAAGGGGGGAGCAGATTAGAGACAGGGTTTCTCTGTGTAACAGCCCTGGCTGTCCTAGAACTCACTCTGTAGACCAGACGGACCTCGAACTCACAGAGATCTGCCTGCCTCTGCTTTCCGAGCGCTGGGATAAGGGGATGTGCCGCCACCACCCGGCCACTCAAAATTTCTCACTTAGAAACAATCTCCTGGTTTTTACTTTTTATTCTTATTATTTTTATTTTATGTATATGGTGGTTCTGCCTGCATGTACGTACGTACGTGTCTATGTACCATGTGCGTGTCAGATACCCACAGCAGCCAGGAGAGGCTGTCAGATGTCCTAGAACCTTGGAGTTACAGATGGTTGGGAGTTCTGTTAATCGAACCCAGGTCTTCTTCAACAACAGCCATTCCTCTTAACTACCGAGCCGCCTGTCCAGCCCCTGGGTTTTGCTTGTTGCAATTTTAATAATGTAGAGTCTATAGAGTGGCCTGTGGTGTCAACCATACTTTTTAGTTTACACACCACGAAACTGACCTTCTTAGAGAGAACAATTGGATTTTCAGTTTTTGATTATTGGTAGTGGAGACTGAAACACATCCTAAGTATACACTCTACCGTGGATCTATAACACCCATCCTTCTTAAGAAATGTCTTCCTTAGCTGGGTGGTGATGGCACAATCCGTTAGTCCCAGTGCTTGGGAAGCAGAGACAGTTTGAGGCCAGCCTGGTCTACAGAGTGAGTTCCAGGCTAGCCAGTGCTACACAGAGAAATCTATCTCAAAAAAAAAAAAAAAAAAAAAAATCTTATTTTGAGACAGAGTCACAGCCAGGCTTGGTGGTGCATGCCTATAATCCCAGCATGCTGGGAGGCAGAGGCAGGTGGACCTCTGAAGCCGAGGCCAGCCTGTACTCTACAAAGGGAGTCCAGGACAGCCAAGGCTACAGAGAGAGACCCTGTCTCAAAAAACAAAAACAAAAAAAACAAAATGGAGAGAGATTCATTAAGTGTTTCAGGCTGGCTTTAAGTTCACTTTGTAGCTGACACTGAGCTTGCCATTCTCCTGCCTCCACCTCCTAGTTGCTGGGATTACAGGTGTGCACCACCATACCTGGTTTGTGCGGTGCTAGGGATCAAACCCAGGGCTTCACGCTGGGTAGGCAAGTCCTGTACCAACCGAGCCACACCCTAGCCTCTCTTCCAACGTTTCTGTTTATTTGATGTAGCGCTCTGACCTGAAGCTGGGGCTCCATGCATCCTCAGTAGGCACACGACTCTTGAGCCACATTCCCAGCTCAGAATTTTCCTAGTAACCAGGTATCAGAAGTAGAGGTGGGGCTTGGGGATTTAGTTTAGTGGTAGGCAAGTGCAAGGCCCTGGGTTCAGTCCTCAGTTCTGGGGGGAAAAAAGTAGAGGTAAATCAGAGTCATTTGTGACTACACAATGAGTTGGAGGCCATCCTGGGCTACATGAGACCTTGTCTCCAAAACAAACAAACAAACAAAAAAAAAAAGAGTAATAGAAGCCCCTTCTAAACGGGGATTTGTACCACTGGAGAGCATCTGGCTCCCTGCCTGACTACAGACAGACCCTTGTGGTATATCTGACTAGTACTCACCAACTTTGCAGCTGCCCTGGGCCTTGGTTCAGTGGCTCTTTCTCAAATGATGGCCATATAACCATGGACAACAAGGGCCACGGAATGTGCCTGGCTTCCTGGGGCAAAATGGAGGGTTCAGGTGCTTCTTTGGGAAGCTACAGGACTGGCTGGACATGAACTGGGGTTGGCAGATGGGGTCTGCACCGCTCCCAAAAGGAAGGGAAGCAATGATGCTTTGCAGTTCGTCAGGGTCGTATCCTAAAGGACCAGTTCCCCGGGTGTCACAGGTGTGTCTGGAGAGGTCTCTCTGGCCCTGGTACAGCAGCTGTGGGTGACTGAAATGCTCAGCGTCATGCCTAGGCTGCTGGCCACTAGGAGGCTGACGTATTTATTTGGACCAGAATTGTTCTTTTCTCACTCGTTCTCCCTGCCCTGCCAGGGCGACACCTCTGGAGACTTCCTGAAGGCTTTGCTGGCTCTCTGTGGCGGAGAGGACTAGGGCTGCTGTCCTCGGAGGTCCCCTCTGCCAAGCAGCGGCCAAGAGCACCAGCCACCGTGACCTGACCAAGCCATCCTCCAGCTTCAGAGACTGAGGAAGGAAAAGTGAGGGGTGGAGTTGGACTGTCGTCCAGCTGGGGCACTCGCCAGCCATCGAGGGTCCCAGGCGGTACCTTCTGTTATCCCTCCTGCTCCTGGCTGAGTGGCTGGGGAGCCACAGCCATGTACCGAATTCACCCCTGCTCGCCCTCCACCCCCTCCTCAGCCCCTCCCTAGCTTTCACTCCTCAACATAAGCCCTGCCCTGATTTGAACTTCATCATATCTCAAAACATACCAAGACCCTGTCTATAAAATGAGTGGCGTGTTCGTCTACTTTGAAGGGCAGGTGAGGTGGCTAGTGCCAGGTGAGCATTCTGGGATAAAGGAGAGATTAACTCGATAGAGTGGTGTTCTTCCCCACTGTAACCACCCAGTCTGATAAGGAACTGGGCTGGGAATTTCCATGTCCAGGTATCATTTTGTATCTATGACACCCTTGGCTTCATACCTTGGGCCCTTCCTGCCCTTCCCTTCTCTAGCCTTAGTTCTGTTATCTACAAAACAAGACACCAAACTACCTTGGCTTCCTTTATGACACTGACATTCTAGACTGAGCCTGTAGCTCAGCCCCTTGAATCTTATCCATCCTTTAAAAAGGAAAGAAACAGGGCTAGGGAGGTAGTTCACTTAAGCAAGTTCTGGGCAAACAAGAGGACATGAATTCAATCTCCAGAACACACACAGGCCAGAGATGGTGGCACACCCCTTTAATCCCAGCACCGAAGGAGGGAAAGGCAGGCAGATCTCTGTGAGTTCAAGGCCAGGCTGGTCAACATAGCTACTTCAGGCCAGGCAGGGATCTCTTGCAAACTGTTATGCATTTATTATCCCAGAGCTCGAAAGATAGAGGCAGGAGGTTGGATCCGTGTGGCTCACTGCCCAGCTGGCCAGCCAGGCTAAATAAACGAGCCCCAGATTCAGTGAGATCCTGCCTCAAAATAAGTCGGGTAGCTCCCGAGGAGTGGCACCCAAGGCCTCCACACATGTGCACTGCTCCCCAACACATGCAAAAGAAAAAGCAGCGGCATCCAGTCATCTCTAGTGAGGGCCTCTGACTGCCACTGGCCTAAATTTCCCTGGTGTAACCCCCTGTTTGTGAGTGAGCTCTGTCTTCACCTCCTCCTGCTTCCAGGGAAGATACAGAGTAGGAGCCTGCCTCAAGCCTGGGGAGTCCCAGCCTCCCTGGGGCTCAGGTCCACCAATCCCGCACCTCCTCTCTGATCTCCTCCAGGGCACAGGGCCATCAGTACAGCGTCATCTGGAGAGGTGGGTGGAGATGAGCATGAGGCTCCACAATAGCTTTTCTGCCCTTCTTCCTACAGCCACCTTCTGCTCTGAGATTTTTGGATCTGAGGTTTTCCAAGGACTGTGATCGGAGGCTGTCTACTGGGCTCAGCCCCATGCCTTTGGCTGGCCCATCCGGGTTACAGCACTCAGGATGTTGGTGGTAGAAGCTGTCTGCGCAGATAGGTGGGAGATTCTGGCTCTGGCCTTGTCATTCCCTCACCGGCTGATCTTGCAGCCATTATTCACTGACCTCAATGGTCCTGAGTTTCCCCATTTGTATAGTGAAGGGCTGGACATGATGAGCATAAAACTAAGAAAATTTTGTCAGATCTCTTCCTTCTTCCAGCAGGCATGAGTCCAGGGTCAGCCGAGAGTGCTGGTTTGGAATAAGATTTTTTTATCAATGGTGTAAGCTGTAGCCTCTTTGAACCCCTGCTTCCTTGTCTGTAGCATGGACCCCCATTTCTCTTCCCATAGCCTTGTGGGAAACTAGTGAGATTCTCTGAAATGCTCCACAGAGCATCTATTTGGCTTGAAGCCACCATCTGCCCTGAGCCAGGCTCAGTGGCAGGAGCTAAGACGTGAATCCATGATGACTGAGCTTGGACCTCTAAGAAGTGCGTCAGCCTTGGATTATAGGCTGGTGATAGTAACACACGCCTTTAATCCCAGTGCTCAAGGTAGCAGAGGCAGGTGGATTTCTGTGAGTTTGAGGCCAGCCTGGTCTGTAAAGTCCAGGACAGCCAAGGCTACACAGAGAAACCCTGTCTTAAAACACAGACACACGCACACACACACACACAAAAGACACCTAAATCAAAAAAGAATGATGCCCTAATAGACACACATAAAACTGGGCAGGATAGGTAGCCATGATCCTAGCACTTAGGAGGCTGGGGCAGGAGGATAGAAGGTTTGAGGTGAGCCTAGGCTACATATCAAGACTCCCATCTTAAAGTGGCGCTGAAGAGATGATTCCATGGGTAACGGTGTTTGCCACATGAGCATGAAGGCCTAAATCCAAATCTTCAGCACATGGGTAAAAAGCTGTGCGTTGTGGGGGGGGGGGAGTAGGAGAGATTGCTCATCGCTCAGTGGCTAAGGACACCAGCTGCTCTTTACAACCAGCTGTAGTTTCAGTTCCGGCAGTTCCAATGCCCTCTTCTGTCTTCAGGCGCCAAGCATGCAAGTGGCCCACAGACGTACATACACACACACAGGCAAAACACTCATACACATAAAAATAAACTTTAAGACTGTTCATGGCTGTGAATGCCTGTAACCCAAGCTGGCAGGGGAGGTGGGGTGGGGACAGGATGATTGCTGGGGCTCCAGATTCAGTAAGAGACCCTGCCCTTAAGGGAATGAGTAATAGAGCAGGACCCTGCAATGCTCCTCTGACCAACCCCAAACACATACTTGAAAAAAGAAAATTCTGAAAATTGCATATACATTCATAAAATATTTCAAAGGGAATGTGAGGGCTAAGAGAGAGGAGGCTCCACGAGCTAATCGTGCGCGCGCGCACACATATACAACTCAGCTGTGGGAACCAGGAATGAGGACAGCTGAGCTCAGTGCTTATGCTTAGGAAGGCACATTTCTGATGCCTCTGTCTTCGTCCTCCCTTCTGTCTTCAGTTGGAGTGAATCACCCTTCACGGATTGCTCACAGGAACAAGGATTTCAAGGATTTAGGGTGAGGTTGTTGGGGCAGAAATGGGGGGTTGCTTCCAGTCTCAGAAGGCCTGAAATTTGGGATTTTTTTTAGATTCCAGGAAAGTCTTTAAGGCTGATGTGGTTTGGGGAGGATCCATGTGCCTGAAAAACAAACCAGACCTTTTCTTTCTTCCTTCCTTTCTTTTTTCCTTCCTTTCTTCCTTCATCCCTCTCTTCTTTCCTTTTCCTTCCGTTCTTCCTCTCTTCTTTCCCTTTTTCTTTCCTTCCTTTATTCCTCTCTCTCGCTCTGTCTCGTGTCTCCATCTCTCTCTGTCTCTTTCTTTCTTTCTTTCTTTCTTTCTTTCTTTCTTTCTTTCTTTCTTTCTTTCTTTCTTGTCTGGATCTCATGATGTAGTCCAGGCTGGCCTCACACTTGTTGTGAAGACAGACATGGCCTGATCCTCCTGCTCCTGAGTGCTAGACTGCAGGCACAGACCACCAGCCCCCACAAGCTAGGATTTTCTTCATGTTGTACAGAAGGCAGCCAGCCTGAATCTGAGGCGGCTAGTTCATTAAGTCGCCATTCTTTCATTCATGAACATATACTCTCCAATACCTGCTGTGTACCATGTGCTAGGGGCTAGAGCTATGAACGGTGATGGTTCTAATCCTTTATAGGGCTTCCGTGAATGCCTCTTCAGTCTGAATCTCTGCATGAGACTACTCTCGTGGCCCCAAGTTCAAGGCACAAAAGTGGATGGGGGTTAAATTAAAAGGAGAGCGACAGCAATTCAAACCACCCCTGTCTCAACATGGGAAGATGGCTGTAGGTTCTAGGTGCAGAAGGGGCCTCAGAAGTTCTCACCTCCCTCGGTGACAGATGAGGAGAACATCGCTTGTATGGACAGGAAGTGTTTGGCCATCGCAGCGGTTAGAAGGGGAATGCCACAGTCCCTCCCTGGTCTGGGGTCCCTTCTAGCACCCTCTGAGGGGGCTTTAAGGCTGGAGTCATCTTCCCTCCAACTCCTCACTGCTCTTTTTGTTGTTTACGTTATTTTATGTGTTAGTTGGGGGAGTACCTGTATGTATATATGCTCATTACTTACGTATGTGCCTGGTACCTACAGAGACCAGAAGAGGACATTGGACCCCCTGGAGCTGGAGTTACCCCATAAGAGGGGCCAAATCCAGGTCCTCTGCAAGAGTCACCAAGTGCCATCTTTCTAGCACACTTGTTTTTAAAACAGGGTCTCATGGAGCACAGGCTAACCTCAAACTTTCTATGTAACTAAGAATGACCTTGAACCTCCCATCCTTCTGCCTCTACCTCCCAAGTGCTGAAAGACCAGCCAGGTACCACCATACATAGTTTATGGCATGCTAGGGCTGGCCCCCAGGGCTTTGTGGCTGCCAGGCAAGCACTCTGCCAAGTAGGCTACATACCTAAGTCCCTGCACTCTTCATTTTTCCCTTCAGAAAAGTCTTTCAGGAGCCTTGGTCTTTGGGACTATGAGGAAACACCTGAAGGAAGTGGTGGCCTGGGAGGGGGTTGCCGTGATCCGTGATCCGAGCAAAGCTAATTGTCTGCTCGAACTTCTGCTAACAGGCAGCAGTGAGGTAACTGTTGGCTGCTTTGGAATCCCTGGCGTTTTCTCGCCTCAGCTCAGCCAGAGTCGAAGCCACAGCAAGCTGGAGCTTCACCCTGGCAGCCATTGCTTCTCTCTCAGGGCTCCCCTGTCACTAGAAGGCAACCAAGGTGACATTCTTATTGGTAGGATGGCTTGCCTGAAGACCACATCATAGCAGGACTGCCAGGAAAAAAAAAAAAAAAAAAGCTTCCTCATTTCACAGTGGGAGGGAGGCTAGAGGGAAATTCTAGCTACACCACAGCTTCCATCTTGGGCTGCAGGCATGGGTTCCAGTCCCAGGCAACCATTAGCGGTAGGGAATTCATTGACCTCCCTATGCCTTGTCCCCCCACTCCCCCCCCCAGAAGTGGGCCGCAAAGGTGCTGTGAAACCAATTGATGTACATCTCTGAGGGTGCTGTCCACGCCAGAAGACCAACTCCATGATGTCAGCTATCCACTGTTAATAACTGACGTGCAGCCAGGCAGCGGCGATGGCAAACCCCTTTAATTCCAGCCTTTCAGAAGGCAGAGGCAGGCGGATCTCTGTGAGTTCGAGGCCAGCCTGGTGTCCAGGGCTAAAACAGAGGAACCCTGTCTCGCCAAAAAAATAAAAAATGCTCAGAGGGAGCTTTAAACAGCTCCCAATGTCTACTGAGTCCCTACACCAGTGGTTCTCAACCTG